TTCCCGCCAACACCCTAAAAAAAGTACCCAAGAAAAGATACACTCATTTACACAATGTTGGCTTTAGCATGTTCAAACAAGAGGGCGGACCAACCGTTGCCCCAAATAGAAAATGACATGTGGGATTCAGCTGGTTAAGCTGTTGGAACATACTCCAACACGTTCAGCTCAAATGGACAGGCCCCTACATCCCCCAACCCTAGCAAGGTTCTAGGGTTCTAGGAAACTGGGAGGTGGGTTCACTTGACCCGATCGGAAGTCGATCAATTCGGTCCCTGAAGGAAACCAACAAGCGATTCCCACACGAATCGGACAGTCCCAGATCAGCGAAACCAACAGCAAAAAAGCGTCCGTTTATCGATGTGAAGACCTGGTTGCCCGGTACTCAGAGGGCATCATTCAACGTGTTTTATACCGACTGGAGATTATTTCACCTGGGTGAATTGGCCAAACAAAGCCCAAATGTGTTGTTTGCCACCAAATCGGTCTTCCCAAAGAGTAGAAACTGGCTTTGGCTCAGATCCGCTGCTCAAAGCGAGTCTCACTTTAGTGGGGATGAAATTCGGAAACCCATCCACCAAATCAGCGAGGGAAAAAAGAACCTCAAAACCCAAGTTGAACCGGACAATTGGCTGGTTCCGAACCGCCTGTTGGTCAAATGGAAACCCAACCACCAAACCCAAGGAAAAAAAAGACCCGAAAACGTAAGTCGAACCGGACAATTGGCTGGTTCCGAACCCAACCACCAAACCAACTAAAACCCTAACCCCCCCCCATTGCAGGCGCCTTTCAAGGTGATGTCCGGGATGGAGCTCGTCCTCGCCTGCGAAGGACATCCAAAAACGAGATCGAGGCGTCGATCACCGAGCAAATCCTCTACGTCTGAAAAAAAAGAAGAAAACGAGCCGTCCAGTAGTGAAATCGATTCCCCTAAAAACATCAGGGAGGATTTGAGTGAACAAATAAAACAAGCGAACAACAAACTGTGGCCGTTCGCAAGCTACCCGCTTGGGACATCGATCTGGATGCCAGTCAGGTCTGACATTGGGACCCCGCCCAGTGGAGTGGTGGGTCAAACTTGCGCTCGAGCCCTTGCCGGGAACTTTCCCGAAGGGAAGCCAAGCCACTAAGGCCCAGGGGCCATAATTTGTCCATGGCTCCTCTCGTGGCGAATCATTGAAGAAAGGTTTGTGTGGTGGAGCAGCCCTGGCACGACAACTGGCCAATTAGCTTCGGAAAATCATGGGAAAGCGTTGACCAACTCACCTAAATTGTGGATACTCTCCCATCTCACATGGAACCTCACTCAGGGGTCATGGAAGGAGATTGCCTTAGGTCCAATTTTTAATAGAGGTCCCATTCTAGGTCCTCCAGTAGAGAGGTTATAATAAGGGTACCCTTTTTGTCTGTTGTCTATTTTAGTAGCGGAACCCTCCCCCAAAAAAGGGGAGAGAAGGGCACTACTGGACCTAGCTTAGGTCCAATTTTGGTAGAGGTCCCAAAAGGTTGGTCCATTTTCCGTGGCCCCAAAAGGCGCTCACCCTTTGCTTCCGGGGTCCCTAAGGGGCAAGCAAGCTTAAGATGTTTTTGTGTTTTCCCCTGTTGGGTTTTAAAGGGATTCGATCACTGGTCCTGGAAGAGGATGTTGCTTTAAAGGGGCCAGAACGGTGGGTTCCTTGGCAACGTGGACAGGAGCGTAGCGTTAGGAGGAGGTGGCCCCTGGCGTAAAAACTCCGTGGCTGCGCAGGCGAAGCTTGCAAATGGGGCAGCCCCTGGCCATGTCCAACTGAGTCATAATCAAAGCCCGGTATTGAAATGGTCTACCCAGAGCCAGGCTTCAAGAATTAAAAAGGCAGATCTCCGCAGCTATTCCTGGTTGGGATTGTCCCTTACTAACCTTCATCTACCCGGGTTGTGATTGTGGCTCAACTGACTCAAAAAGGAAGTACTGGGTGGGTGGTTTATCTACCTGCGGATTTGTCTGGCCTCAACATCGCGGAATCTTGCACGGAGAAAAGGTCAAGGGGTCAGTTTGTTTCCCCCAAGGACATGGAACACCTCGATAGTAACCCTCGTCATAACCAGGGCAAGTAGTAGGGCTCCGGAGTGGAGTGGACCATACCCAGGGCTTCCAACTAGCCCAGCTACCCTGAAAGAAAGGTGGCTAACCCTTTTTGGGACTGACCATTCGTTGCGGGGAAACCACCAAACAGAAAAGGTAACAAGGGTGACTGACCATTATTGCGCAGTGAAAGGCACCCAAGATGCTCCAAGGGGCGATCAGGTACGTAGTAGGTGGCTGGAAAGACTGGTTATAACCCACTTACCATGGTTATAAGTCTCCGTTCAGTGGGTGCTAACCAGGCTTACTAACCACTTACTAAGTACCCGATCGCCCCTTTAAGTGGGGTTCCTGAGAATTGTCCTGGCTTCTGGGGCTATGGGCCCTAACGTCTCTCCTTCCTTGCACTTTGTGAATGACGGTCATTTGAGGGGTCCCAAATGTGTCTGGGCGCTTCAGAAAGTAGTTCTCCTGCCAGGGTTCTTGGCGTTGTCTTGCCACTCTGATAGCACTGGAACCCCAATGCCCTTTTTCCTCCAGAAGTTGGAAGGAAAGCCCATGAAAGGAAAACCCGTTTCCACGCATTTCCTGCCTTTAAAAAGGAGCCGCTTTCCCGACTCCTTCCAGAAGAAAAACAGCGAACATCCTGGTTCCCGACTCCTTCGCGCGGGAAAAAAAGAGAAACAAAAATGAAAAAACAAACATCCCACGTCCTCCTTCCCGCAGCCGACCCGCCTTCTTCTCCTTGGGCTCCTTCTTTTTGCCCATGGTTCTCCACTCCGGCGCGGCGCTCGCGCGCTGGTCAGCGAAGGGATCGGTCAAAAGGCCCGCAAAGCGAATGGTATAAGATTTGACCATGTTTTGGTTGGCTTTCCCAGTATCTATCTATCTATCTATCTACCTATCTATCTATCTACCTATCCATCTGTCTATCTATCTACCTACCTACTTACTTATCTATCTATCTATCTATCTATCTATCTATCTATCTATCTATCTATCTATCTATCTATCTATCTATCTATCTATCTACAATGTCCAGCCGACTGGGAAAACGTATGCAACGGCCCATCCACTACAGCCTTTGAGCAACGGGGATCCCTTTAAAAATGATCTTCGGTTATGTTTTGTTCAACCAAGTAGTAGAACCTCATACAATAACCTATGGTAGGTTTGGGCTGCCGTGAGAATCGAAATCAGCAACCGGGGAACCTCAAACAATTCCCCCCCCCCTTTGTGCACCTTCAATCATGCAGGAAGGAAAGCAAGCTCATTGGAGTCCGAAAGAAAACCTAGTCTCAAAGAAGTCTACCCAAGATCATGTAATTATCTGTATGTATGTATCTGCACCTACACATATCATATTTGGCCGGGGCTTTCCCCTGCACCCGAATTTGGGGTGCTCAGCTTTTGAGCCGCGGCAAAACGATCAACCGGCGCTCGCGACGGCGCTGTTTCAGCGGGCTACAAGTGAGCTCTGCATGCGCTTCTTCGAACATCATAGTCTCAAGGTTTTTGTATTGCACCCTGGGAGTACACCTTTGGGAAATGACCCCCAGAATGGTTCAAAATGATATGGTTTTATCCGGAAATGTGCCCAAATGGGGTCAGTACCCAGTGGGTGTATTTCCAGGGTGTAAAACCAAAACCCTTAGACATAGGGGGGGCTGCCCGCCTCCCGCCGCTTCTTCGAACATGATGGTGGGTATTCACGTGACCTTGTAAAACAAAAGGAAGATGGGTTCCCCAAATAAACGGGCAGACAAATCGTTCAATTAACCAATAGACCAAATATTTCATACATTCAGCTTGATGTATTCGTTAATTCCTGTCCAACACCATCTTATCGCCACCTGATAGGGGTATTTTAAGGCTGATGGTGTTTCCCATTCAAAAAACACTCCAAAAAGAGCACCCTCACAAGAAGACAGGCCCTCTTGTGCCCCCCCCCCCCCCCCCCCCCCCCCCCCCGCGGGCAATGGATATGTCAAGAGGGGATGTCCCCCCGCAAAAAATCACAGAAGGCGGTTCGGCGTCAATGTCTGAAGCCGCTGGAAGGCAAGACATGATTGCGAATAAGTGGCTGAACTATGTGCCCAAAAATTGGAACCCTGGTAAATGGAAACATGGACCAAAAACCTGTGGTCCCCTGGTTGAATTTTGACCCACACCCAATTTAGAAGGAAGTGCAGGTCTAACGACCAGCGGGGCTGAGACGAACTTCCCTCAAAAGGCAAGCCGCGCGCCAACCCTAGTTGGTGGTCTGGGTTGGTGGTTCGGGTGGATCTACCTTCCCTGATTTAGCTTCAAACAGAAGGGCTCAAATGCCCCCAATCCAAACCGCCAATTAAGGGTTAGTTAGCGTGTCCGCGCTGCCATGGAACCGGCCAGAGGGTCCCTTTTAAAGGAAAATCGTCTGCCGGGGATCCCGCAGTGATAGAGTCCCTTTAAACTCACCAGTGGAAAACAAAACGACATATTAAGCTCGCTTGCCTCCTAGGGACCCGGAGATTTTAAGATGATCACCTTTTGGGGCCACTAAAAATTGACCAACCTTTTTGGACCTCTACCAAAAATGGGATCTCTACCAAAATTGGACCTCTACCTTTTGGGACAAGAAAGGGAAAGCCCAAAAGGCAGTTTCCTTCCATTTGCCCACGTCCCCTGGAAAAAAGTGACATATTTCCAGCAATGATATAAACTCCCCCTAAAGACCAACAGGGGAACAATAGAGATTAAAAAAGAAATCGGTATAAACTCCCCTTACAGACCAACAAAGAGAAAAATACAAACTTTATAAACATAAAAAAGTAAAAAGTGGGAATATATATATATATATATGTAGAATAGAATATATATATATATATATGTACACATATAAAAGAGAAACTGAAACGCAAATGGTAGTTTCAGGTCGGTGTAGAACTGAGCGCCCTGCCTGAAAGCCGCCGGACCTCACAGGTCGTTCAGTCGGAGTCGCAGAAATAACAACTCAGTTGTTCAGTGACCCTGGAAAAAAAGGGAACCCTTTTTTGGGAAGACCATTTTAGTGGGGCAGCCACCAAAAAAAAGGAAAAAGGGAGCCACTGAACAACTGAGACAAGGGGGGCCCCTGACAATTCCACACACCCATGTGAGCCAGGAGGTTGCTGTATTTTCCCCTTGAAAACCGCAAACAAGGGGGGGGGGCCTGAAGAAAAGACACACCCATGTGAACCATCCATCATATTTGTGCTTTGCAGGAGTTTGCTGTATTTCTCCTGAGAACAAAAGTGGGCTAGCCTGACAAAAGACGTCCGGGACTCATTAAGAGTCACTCCCGTATTCATTCTGGGCCATGGGTCCGTGGAGGATGTCCTGAGCCCAAACAGGGGTAGATAGATGACCCCCGCAAAAACCAACAATGCAGGAAGTGTCCCCTGATCATGGTTGCGGGGAACTGTACCTTTATTTGAATCCGATACTTGCAATCCCCATGAAGAAGGTTTTTTGCTTCTTTTTTGTTTTTTTCCAGCATCTCACAAAAAGTGGCTCTTAAACCCGATGTCTCACGACCATTTCAAGGAACCTGTCCGCTTCTCCCCCACTCAAGAAGGTTCCCTTTGGTTCTTTCATGCAGTGTTCAGTTGCCTGTCCTCAGCTCCCCTGTAAAAGCTTCACTTGGGTTGACTGGAAACACCAAACTTCACTAAACCCCAAAACCTAAAACCAAAGGGGACGCCCGGGAACCGCCCCGTTGTTTCCAAGAGGTAGTTGTCTTCTCCCCAGCTGTCGAGAAGGGCGACTGGGCGCCATCCATTCCCATCCCCATTCTTAGAGAGCGCGAAAACCAATCCATGCGCACCACTTTGAAACCATGGGAAACCGTTGCTTGTTGGTATTCGCATGGGAAGTGGCAGGATTTCGTCCCTCAGCAGGGTCCACAATGGGGTTTATACCCCCACCCAATTACCCACTTTTTCCGGGGTGGGCTTCCCTCTCAAACCACCCAAACCTAAAACCCAATGTTCCGACCGTGGTGTTTTCCAGCTTCCCTCAAACAACATGCAAAAAGATGTGTTCCCAGCGCCCGAAACCCACCCCACTTCACCCTCAGACCGTCACTCGATTCCCCTTCAACAGTTCCAATCGGCTGGTGGTTTCCACTGAAACGATCGCCACTTTTGGAGGTCCAAGAAAGGGACATGGGTGTGCCATTTTAGGGGACCCCGCAGATTCCCAGTTTTCTTTTTGGTTTCCCTTCAAAGCCACCAAAAACGGGTACCCACAACAAAACACAGACCCAAATGCAGGCGGCCAAAGGGCGCGTGGGTCTTGTTCCAGCGCCGGTTGGGCGGGCTCGCCCAGGCCGTGTTTGAGGGCCGCCTGGGTCGGCCAACAAAGATGCGAGCAAGAACTTCCTGTAACCCTCTGATTTCTGGTTTTCGGTGGATTCGGTTGGCTGCAAAAATAGGGTATGCCCAAAATGGAACTCTGGAAAATGGAAGCATGGACCAAAACCTGCTTTTTTGCGGTGGTGTAATTTTCACCCATACCCATTTCCCGATCGAACGTGCTGTGGATGGACCAAATCCGTTCGACAACTTTGAAACTACGGTTGAAGCCATTTGTTTGTTGGTATTTACAGGTGAATCATCATTCCAGGGTTTCTTAGGTGGTGCAAAATGGATTTCGCAACCATCCACAGTATTGCAAGGAAACCAACGAGAAACCACCAAGACATGGTAAGTTTGCCCCTCCTGTATCGTTTTGAGCCACGCCCACTTCACGCATCGCTCACTTGCTCCGCTGATCGTCGGCAGCTTGACCGCTGCGGCCGAGCTTAACTTGGCCCAGGAGTCAGTCCATACTAGGATATGGGTTCTGGGGGTTGATTCCTTTTCCATTCTTTTCAACCATCGTTCTTTTCAAAAACCGGCGGTTTCCCCGGGTTTTTGATGGTTTCCTGAAAAGAAGGATCCCTGGAAAGAATGGGGAAGGTACCCCTAGATGGGTATGTCTTTTGTTGCCCGGGAAAAAAACAGTGGTCACAGGATCTCCCCAAATCAAAAGTTGATGAATTGACTGGTGACTTCCACTCAAACGATCGCCACGTTTGGCGGTTCCAAAAAGGGAAATGGCTCGGACATCCTGTGCTACAAGAGCCACAAGACCTGCAGGAGCCCCGAAAGAACGTGCAAACAAAAAAAAAAACATAAACTGGAGGATCCTGAAGAAAAAACAACTGGAGCCCCCCCCCCCCAAAAAAAAAAACACTTTTGGAGGGGCCCAGAACCACCGGTTGATTATGGGGTCAACATTAAGAGTCACCTGTTGGGAGCGGCAGGGCTCACAGCAGCTTCCCACCCAAGGGCCCCCTTGGCCCCCTGGCAGCGTGGCAGCCTTGGGCGGCGCAGACTCGTGGCGGCGCCTCCCGTTTCGAGAGGCAAATGGATGGCTCGGGCTACGTACTGGGAGGACCCCCGGAAGCTCGACCCAGCAATATACTTGGCTGGAAAAATCGGACCCCTGCAAAAAAACAAAATGCCTGGTGAGTGGAAAACAAAGGGTTCGAACCCCAAAAAAGCCAAAACAAAAGTAATTAAAAAGGGGAACGAAGTCTGGGGAAGCATAGTCTGGCAGCTAGGGGCTTCCTCCACGAGGGAGCTGATCTTACAGGTGCCATGTTAGTGGCAGAAAGGGCAACCAACAGAGAGGCAAGGTGACTCCTGGGTCCTCCAGATTTGAGAGGTTAGAATATGTTGGTACCCGATGTTTTTCGGTTTTGTCTATTTTAGTAGGGGAACCCTCCCAAAAAAGAACAAGGCAAAAGGGCACTACTGGGGGACCCAGCTGGTATGGCAGTTTATACCCCTTGTAGAAGTAGATTTGTTTAACCTCCATAATTACCGTGGATGGTTGCGACATCCGCTTCTCGCACCACGACCTGAATCCATGGTTGAAACCATTATTTGTTGGTATTTACGTTGGGTAATCGAATCAGAAACCAGGGTTCTGAACGATGGTGCAATCCTGGGGGCAATCCTACGGTGGATGGTCTACATTGAAATGTACTTGCACAAGCTGCGGGAGACTTGAACATCAGCTTTGGTCGTGATCATACCCTGGATGGTGGCGCGACTTTCCTTCGTGCCACGAAATGAATCCATGGTTGAAACCATTCCGTTTGTTGATATTTACGTTGGGCAATCATCCGAAACCAGGGTTTCTTTGGTGGTGCGAAATGGAATTCGTCCATGCACAGTACGGAAGTGCATGGATTAGATTGGATTGGGATGTGAAACGGGAGGGGATGGGATAAGGACGGTTCGGGGCTGGGGCGGGGTTTGGTGTGGATCGATGCATGGATGAAGACACGGGCAGCCACAACCCACTTTCACCTACAAAAAGACGCCCTTTAACGGGTGAAGCAGGGACCCACTTGAACTGGGTCTTTGGAAGGGTTGCATGGTTGGAGTTACCCTTTGGAATTGCTTGGATTTGCATGAAGCGGGGCAATTCCACTTGCCGAGCCACTTGAGTCATAATCAAAACCTGACATTAAAATGGTCCACCCAACACCATGGTAAAGACTCAAAGGGCCGGAATTCCGCACCCCAGTTGTGGTTGGGATTCTTTACAACCCTTGGTATGGTAGCAAGATATCTGCAGCCCCCTACTAAAAATAAACAGAACCCCCCCCCCCCCCAAAGAAAAAAGAAACTAAAAAACTTAACCAACAACAGGGGTGGGGGTCGTCCCGTAGCCTTCACCGACCCAGGTTTGGAGCAAGTGGCTCACACACTTCTCACCGTGGCTTCCAGGCACTCGGAACTCCAGGAAGCCAAGGCTTGCGAGTGGCAAGTCGCTTTGGTTCAGTTGGCATCTCTTAAACCGAAATGCCAGATTAGAACTGAAAGCGATTGAAATTGGAAGTTCGATTAAACTGAAATTTCAGTGGCAAGTCGCTTTTGTCCAGTTGTATTCAGAAATTGGCAAGGCCATGTAAGCCAAGGGTACAGGCAACTATGCCATGCGTTGTGTGTCAAAACAAAAAAGGTCTATCTTACAAAACGCCGGCTCGTGTTCATTTCATTTATTATTATTGTTTAAAAAATAAAAATAAAAGTAAAATGCAGGATGGACAACTCTTAGCCTGAAACCAGCGGTTGCCGCTCGGCCGAAAGCTCGCGCCTGGCGTCCTCCAGTGAGGCCTCGAAGGCTCCGTCAGGGAAGGAACTCGAACCCGAAGCAACGGAAGGAAACCAGATCTGATCCTTCTAGGGGTTGATTCCGATTCGATTCTTTTGAACCATCCTTCTTTCAATCGCCAGCTGTTTCAGGGTTTTAGATCTGAAGGGGACCTAGGAAAACCTAGGAAGGGTGATCAGCTTTTGGGGCCATAGGTGGGAGCTCCGAAGGGGGAAGGGTTTATTTCATTCTACGGGGTGATTCCGATTCCATTCTTTTCAACCATCATTCTTTTCAATAGCCAAATGGGTGTCCCCAGGGTTTGTGGTGGCTTTCTGGAAAGATTCGGATCCCTGGGTTCAGAATGGAAATGGAAGTTACCCCTAGAATCCAGTCGAATCCATGGCCTCTGCCCCTCCAGAAAACCCAGAATTTGTCCAGATCACCTTTTGGGGTCATGACTAATGGGAACCCAAGAGTGGGAAGCCAAAAGGTTAAAGGCTCGGAGTGCCAGTGAGTGGGCCCACCCAACGCAAGAAACCCCCAAAAAAAAGAAGATCTGCCAAGACTTAGTCTGGAGGTCTGCACACCCCAGCTGACTAACCAGGCTTCTCCTCTGGAGCAACGCAGCTCGGAAGGAACCCGAAAAGTTTCGGGGCCTTCACCGAAAGGAGCTTGTGGCCCGGCCGAAAGCTGATCGGAGAAAAGCTCGGCTCAACTCAAGCCGGCTTCTGAAACCAGGTCCCATTCTTGTGTAAAGGGAGAATGAAGGACCCGACTACAAACATGCCTATGAAAATCTATAAAGCTATACGCCTTTCGAGGATCATCCCAAGTAAGCCAGGTGCTAGAACCACGCGCAACTTGCCTGCGCAAGCTGATTTGGGCCATCGGTGCCAGAATTTGCCTGGAGAACCCTTCGCAATACTTTCGGGAATAAAGAACACCACCTTTGCCTTCGTTAAAGAAGGAGGGACTCCTAAAAGACTCGCTTTCCGCAAAACCCTCATAGCTGCTTGGGTGCTCGATTCGCCAAGATTGCAAGTTGTTCGTAGCCTGAGTCACCACCCGCCAATAAGCCCCCCTGAGTGGAGATAACCACCCGATATTGGTAGGTTATAACCCAAGTGGCCAAACACAAGCGAACTTGATCGAACATCCTGAACCCATTTTTGGTCAAGGCGAAAAGGACAGGGCTCTCTCAGGCTCCTGTTTCTCTCCTTTCTTAAGTCCCTTGGATAAAATGGACAGATGTTCAGTAGTGAAATCGATTCTCTTTAAAACGGTTTCCCCAGGCAAAATGTGGTACCCTCAAAGAAAGACAGACTCCCCCGATTTGTTGTGGGACGTTCAGAGCTCGTTGCCTCTTCTCATCATAGACACATCAGGAACGCAGAACAAATCATTTGGGTGCCTATGCCTTTTCTGGAGGCTACCCTTTGTGGCTTAGTTTCACAGGGAAACCCAAGAAACTCCACCAAGAGTCGGGTTCCCCGAGTTCGAGCCATCCGGATGCGGCATCAGTTTCCCGGATCACGAGTTCCGGGCCGAGCTCGAGCTCTTCGTGCTGCCTGGAAGAACCCAAGACGAAGTGGTGGGCTCGTACCCGCACCCATTTCTAGGCTGGAATCAGGACCCCAGCAAAAACATATCTGTTTTGCTTGGTTAATGGAAAACAAACGGACCCAAAAAAAGAAAAGGGAAAAAACGGGGGGAAGCTAATTCTGGGAAAGACTTGTGGCTGGGATTGTCCCTTAACCCTTACACTCTAGCAAACTATATAAGAAGTCAACAAACCAGATTTCAAAACTACACTCCAGCAAACAATATCAGAAGTAGAAAAAACCAAACATTTCAAGACAACCATGGAAGTTCCTGGTCTCCAAACTCATTCTCATGGAACTGCTCAAGTAACCTTCACTTTCCGGGTTTTTAATTGTGGCCCAAGTAATTTGGAAACGGTTGCAACCATAGGTGGCCTTTTGGAAAAATAGATGGGTTCCCCTGGTAAATGGAACAAAACCCATGTAAACCAGTGGAACCCATCTATTTTTAACCAGGCTCACCGATCAAAAGGACACCTATGGTTATAACCCACCTACCTGGATTCCCATGAACTTTCATTGGGGATCGGTGAACATCATTTAGGTGGAGAAAAAAAAATCGCCCACCCACCCACTGCTCAGGCGATTCGTTCTGAAAATTCCCAACCATATTTCCCCCTGAAAACATCACACCTTGAGTTGGGCCGAAAGGTAACAAGAAAAGAGAAATATACTCTGGAAGGACGAATTCCTGCACCACCTAAAGAAACTCTGGAATGATGATTCCCCTTTAAAGTGCAAGAAACAATGGCTTCCTGTGGTTTCAACTTGATTCTGGATTCTGTCCATCCACAGGGGAAAACCTGCCCATCCCCTTTTGCTCTGGGAAATCAAGAAACATAAGCTGTGGAGCACCCGACAAACATGTGTTTTGTTGACAGGAACGAGGGTGACTTCGTCAGGCAATTTTGGTTCCACGGCTAAGCCAGCAAATTGGAATGGGCCCTCCGGCCAAAGTCATCACTCTCCCACACAAGCATGCCAGCATGCCAGCCAGCCAGCCAGCCAGCCAGCCAGCCAGCCAGCCAGCCAGCCAGCCAGCCAGCCAGCAAGCAAGCAAGCAAGCAAGCAAGCAAGCAAGCAAGCAAGCAAGCAAGCAAGCAAGCAAGCAAGCAATGGCACACAAAGGCACGTAGCATGAAAAAATCCCATGTGGGTGTGTCTCTTAAGGGGACCCCAACAATTTGTTTGGTTTCCCTTTTAAACCAAACGGAAGAAAATGGGTACCGAGCCTCAAAAACAAAAAACCAAGCTGTGCCAACTGCCGGCCTGAGAGCATCTCCGAAAGCAGCGCCCGCGCCTGACCGAAACCCAGGCACCCAGGCCCCATGTTCTCATGTTTTGGCGATGCCGGTTACATATACGTTAGTGTTTCTCAAGATGAGGCGACTCCTTCTGTCATGGACCAAGGGGGGCCTTCTGGGAAGGAGCTACCCCTTATAAAAACCCCGAAATGAGGCTATATGTTGGGGGTTGATCATATGTATTGATGTATTAACATGAAACCCATAACACTGTTTAGCATATACATATTTTGCATCTCCCTTTGCTTATGAGGTTCATTGCAATGTTGTTGGTGTCCGTGCCTGTCAGCGGGGAAAGGCCCATTGGGAAAGGGACGGAATTGAAATCCTAGACTCTGAAACCCAAAAAGGCATGTTTCCAAAAGACAAAACACGTGTTTGTGATTATCGATATCCATGTTGAGTGGCGTTGTGAGGGAAATCAAAATTGTTGATCCGCTGAATTGAATATCTGTTTTTTCGTGTGACAACTGTGAAGAGACCCTAGACGGATTCTAAACGGGTTTCAGCTTGAACCAAAGGACAGTCACGTGCCCAGCTCACCCGAATCACTTACCGTCTCCAACTGGTGACGCGTCAAAAGGGACTCGGGACCCGAGTCAAACAAGATGGGCTGTGGTCCTTGTGGGTTGAGCCGAGCGGGCTGGCCCAAAGGCCGGAAACCGATTTGTTTACATGGGTCCAAACCCAAAACGCGAGTCCAGAAACCCGGGGACAAGTCCAAGTGCAACAAATCAACTGCAGAATTCCCTGATTTTCTAAACGAGTCAGTGACAGTCACAACTTGTCATTTGCTGAGAAAGAAAGCAAATGAAGCTAGAAGCTGTATGTCTGGGCTGTATTTTGACATTGAATTTTATTTGGTTGGCTCTTCAGTTATGGGCCCCCCGGCTGAAGCAAACACAATGGGCGCAATTTAACACTGACAGCACGCTTTCCCAAGACCACGCGGAGGCTTTGTCGAACCGTCGCTGGAGCCTGGACGGAAGAGGCTTCGTGGCTGAAGGGCTCACCCAATCATCGAAGGGTCCAGGACGGTGCGCTGCATGTGATACATTGGCGCCAGGAGAATCAATTGCCAACCACAGCCCCAGCAAGGACCTCCTTATCTGAAGTGCCGACGTACGCGCCCCCACTGCTACCAGGTGAAAGAGTTCCCTTGAAAACGTGTTTAACCTTAAACCAACAAAAAGGGCGAACATCCTAAGGAACCGGACGGCTGGGAGTTCTCGTGAAAATAGCCTTCAAAACACATACCCTCTAAACTAGGAAACGGTTTGGATGCGATTTTGTGGACCCATCCCTGTAGGATATGAAAAAGAGTACTAAAAGAGTACAAAAAACGAACCTACAGCGGGAAAACCTTGTCTGAAATCCACTGACAAAGCGCAAACAATTTCAACTCCCCTTCTCGGAAACCCAGACCCTGCACCCGGCGTTTCCGGCGGGAGAAAAAAGAAGAAAAAAAACGCCGCCGGAAGCTTCCGCAAATTTTGCCTCCTCCAAGCGGCCCCCAGGGTCGGCAGTCACCTCGAGAAAGGAAGTTGGGACGTGCGAATGGCTACACTCCCTCACCACACACCCTCAAAAGGGGCGAACAAAGGGGCTTACTAACCCCTTATTAAGGCCTTATTAACCCCTTACTAACCATACTAATAACCCCTTATCAACCCCTTACTAAGCCCTTCTTCTGTGCTTCTCCTTAGCCCCCCCCACCCCAAAGCAGTCCATGACCTCAACTCCATTTCGGGGGAGCTAAAGGAGGGCAAAACTAAGAATTGAAGAGCCAAGCAAAAAACGAAAATGAAATGAATAAACAATGGTGATTATTTCCCACCGCATCACCAAGCAGAACTCAAACACTGAAGCAGCAGCCTTCATCCACACTTGGTGTGTGTGTGTGTGTGTGTCTGTGTTTCTTGTTTTCTGGTAAACAAAAAATGGATGGGTTTTCCTACCTGGGGCTTAAACTCAGTTGTTCAGTGACCCTGGAAAAAAAGGATTGGAACCAATTCTTTTTTGGGCTTGAACCGATTTTTTAGTGGGGCAGCCACCAACCAAAAAGGGAAAAGGGAGCCACTGAACAACTGAGACAATGGTGATTATGACATTCATAATAGGTGTATATATATATATATATACATATATGATCGATCTTCTAAAGAAATGTTGGTCTCAACTCCGCTTGGACCCTTTGGACGGACCGCCAGGGTCGGTCCAAGAAGCGATGACCAGCCACAAGCAAAATAAAGGCTCGTAAGAAGCCCTGCAAGGCAGAACAAAGCTCCCGAATTTGTTTTGCCACTACTGGGAGTGTCTTGTTTTAGTGGCCCCCCCAAAATGGTGGTTTTTCCTGTGTCATTTTCCTCTTAAGACCAACCAAAGAGGGATTACCTTTAAGAAAAAGACAGACCCAAAGGGTCTTCCCAAAACGTGGGAAACAAATACATCCAAACACTTGGGAAGTAAGTTCCCCGGGCTTGAGGCGCGACATCTCTGGGGGCGAAACGGGCTACCTTTCAGCCTTTTGATCCGCAACCGGCTTGAATTCCCGTCCAAAAGAGAAAACAAGGCGAAACTGAGGCGCTGATTTCTTCCAGATAAACCCACAAGGTCCCTTTCAGAGGGACATGGTCCAATCCAAAACGCCCCCCCCCCCCCCCACAGGACCCCCCCCCCCCCCCACCCCCGGCAAGGTTCGACACCCCCTCCAAACAACCCGCCGGCTTGAAGCCCCCGGCCGCTCGGCGCCGCGAGCCTGCGGCAAAAGGAAGAGTCCGGGTAGACGTGCCAAACCGCGGGAAGTTTTGATCGGAACCCTGCCCAAACACCATGGCTTTTTGGCGCGCGAAGCCAAAAAGCAGGTTCCAAAGCCATGGCGGACGTTGAATAAAGCATAAACAAATGACGGTCCACCTCCCGAATTCCAAATTCGTCCATGGGCAAGTGGTCAAAAAAAAGGCGTTAAAACGAATGCGCTCAGTTCCTGAGGAACCCGGTCCGAAGTCCTGCCTCAACAAAATAAGGTGCAAAAAACATCCAGGGGAACGAGAAATGAGCGGAACCTGGCCCAACAGCTGATGCTTCATGTTGACCCCAGATTAACAAGCCCCGGTTGAAGATCCATCACTCTTGGAGGGGGGTGTTCCCCCATAGTGAACAAAGGTTGGCTTTTTTCCGGGGTCAGCATTAAACCACCAAAGGCTCTTTTGAAGGGTCCGGAGCCAAAACCAGGAGAACAGACCCACGTGGCTGGGGCCCTGGCAAGTGGAAACATGGACTAAAACCTGCGGTTCTCTCGTGGTCGTTTTCTGGACCAATACGCATGTTATGATTTGTCAACCCATGAAAAAGGAGGAGGATTCACTGTAGGAAAACCCAGTCTGTCCAACTCTACCCCCAAAAAAATATGGGGTATGGGGTAGGGCATGGCCGAAAAGCCCTGAACAATTACCTGACACCGCACCCCAAATAGGAAGAACCTAGTTTCCGTGGCAAAAACCTCTTTTCTAGTCCAGGCACGACATCAGCTAAAAACGGTGTGTATTTTGCGCAGGAACACTACTGTGAATGGAAGAAATATCCTTTCGCACCATCTAAGAAACTCTGGATTATCCAGTCCCCCTGCAAATACCAACCAACAATGGTGTCCCATAGTTTCAAATTGGTACGCGATTTCGTCCATACAGTACGAAGAACAACAACAACAACAACAACAACAACAACAACAACAACAACAACAACAACAACAACAACAACAACAACAACAACAACAACAACAACAACAACAACCAACAACCAACAACCAACAACCAACAACCAACAACCAACAACCAACAACCAACAACCAACAACCAACAACCAACAACCAACAACCAACAACCAACAACAACAACAACAACCAACAACCAACAACCAACAACCAACAACCAACAACCAACAACCAACAACCAACAACCAACAACCAACAACCAACAACCAACAACCAACAACCAACAACCAACAACCAACAACCAACAACCAACAACCAACAACCAACAACCAACAACCAACAACCAACAACCAACAACCAACAACCAACAACCAACAACCAACAACCAACAACCAACAACCAACAACAACAACAACCAACAACCAACAACCAACAACCAACAACCAACAACCAACAACCAACAACCAACAACCAACAACCAACAACCAACAACCAACAACCAACAACCAACAAACAACCAACAACAACAACAACAACAACAACAACAACAACAACAACAACAACAACAACAACAACAACAACAACAACAACAACAACAACAACAACAACAACAACAACAACAACAACAACAACAACAACAACAACAACAACAACAACAACAACAACAACAACAACAACAACAACAACAACAACAACAACAACAACAACAACAACAACCACAACAACAACCACAACCACAACACAACCACAACCACAACCACAACCACAACCACAACCACAACCACAACAACCACAACCACAACAACAACAACAACAACAACAACAACAACAACAACAACAACAACAACAACAACAACAACAACAGCAACAACAGCAACAACAACAACAACAACAACAACAACAACAACAACAACAACAACAACAACAACAACAACAACAACAACAACAACAACAACACTCCAGTCATAGCGGCTAGTGTTTTGGTGTTTTGATCTGCTTCTCTCAAACTGGAATGGGGGAGCCAGAGAAGATAATTATTGTGATTGTCTTTGTGGGGAGTGCCAAAAATGCAGCCAGGTGTTGGGTGGAAAAATACAAGCAAACATAGTTTTTATGTGTACATTCAGTTATGCATACAAAATTGGATAATTGGCTTACTTACCTTGTTTATTTGTTTGTTTGTTTATGTACCAATAGGATGGATATGTGGGTGGTTGCATACCACAATTTTCCACCGGTCCCTCCACAGGTTGCCCCAAGGCACCTGGGCTCATATCGCAGGGCGAGGAGGACACATCGCCTCGGCCGATCGACCGGAGCGCGGCGCTGCTGGTTTGCAGCTGTTCCGGGGAGTGGCTTCCCATTTTCTGCGGCGGCCCGAAAAATTGCACCAACATGACATCATGGTAAATGGAGCACCCTTTTGGAGTCGTTGGAGTAGGGGTGGATTCGTGGTTTGGTGGTTTCGTGTTTTGGGGGCTAGGGTGGTTTCCCATACCCCTCTGCAAACACCGGGGGGCGATTTGACCACCAATCGGCACCTGGATCGATTTCCTCTAGAGACCCCGCGAGGGTTAACCTGATAGATGAGAAGATAAATCAAGTGTTTGCACGGCCAAAAAAGGAATGCGCCCTACAAATTCACATGGAACCATGAATAACCTTCCTTTTAAGAGGAACCTTCTTTTTTACCTTTCTCGATTCCTTTCCAGGGAAGCATTGTGAAAATTGAAAACCACCCAACCAGCTAGAACCGCCTGCAAATCAAGCTGATGGTTGCCTTCCCCCCTGCTATCCAAAAAACAAAAGCAAAGACGGGCGAATATCCGAACCTAGGCATGGTTGGGACTGCCCCTTTCCCTCCCTTCACTACCCGGGCTTTGATTGTGGCTTATTTGGGGGGGACACTATAAAACATAGCTGGGCAAAGATCAAGCCCCACTGCGACAAGCAAGTCCGATTAAAATCCATCCATCAGTCCTTGGGGCAACAGTTGACCAACAATCTACGATCCTAATCGTGTCAGGATTGATTGGGGCATCCTGGTTCGACTTTGCTCGATGTGGTACGTCATGTCTGTACGATTCCCCTCAGCAGAATCCTACTTTTGAATGGTCAGGTGAATCGAGGGGCAATCAACACCTGGTTGATTCACAATCTTCAACGTCAGGGCTTCGCTTTGGGGGGAGACATTTCGTTATTCATCCATCTGACCGGGTTACTGATTCACAGAAAACATGAATCAACATGTATGTGGTCAAATTACAATCATCCCAAACCAGACATTCGTTGAAGCAAATCAATCGCCATAAGTAGGCAAATGGATCACATTATCCAGAACTTGGTTTGGATTCAGCTGCGGGCACGCAGCTAGTTTAAACATTGGACACATGCTGTTGGGACGCAGTTGTAAGGTCGAAATTAATGTAGTTCAGGTGCTGATCAGATCGCCGCAGTTGTTTTACGTCATTTTACGTCTTGCGTATTTTTAACTGTATGTCGTAGTGTGGAGTTGCTAGCCAATTCCTCACATCTTCCAGCCCCTACAGCCGCTCCGTGAGTTGCTCAACTCGCTCCAAAACGGTCTTGGACATTAAAACCCCCACTACAAGAACCAGGATTTACCCTCTACAAGAACCAGGGGTTCAAATCCAAACCACCAAACCGACCAAGTGTTCGTGTTGACCCCTAATTTATCAACCCCAGTTTATTTTTCGAGGGGTGTGGGGCCCCTCCAAAAGTGCTCCGAAACCCAGAGACACCCCCACATTTGATTGACATGGAGTCAATTATGGATTGGCGCGACACTAAAACCCCCACTTCACCCCTCGTTCGTTTGCATTGGCTTGTGGATTCCAAGGAAAAAAACAGTCTAAGTTGACGAAAGCCAAGTCCCCGGCTCCAGGATGCCTCATGCGCGCGATTGAGTTTTGCCGGGGGTGTCTGGAGACAAAGATGTGGGGTGGTTTTCCTGGCTAGTTCAACCTGCTGGTTTTCCTGTAGGTTTTCCTGGCTAGTTCAACCTGTTGGTTTTTCTGGCTAATTCCTTCAAAGCATGTCTTTGGGCAACCAACATTAAACAAAAAGACACAAACTGGGATGTCTTTCTCATTTCGGGCGGCTTTGGGCGTTCTTGGGGACCCTTTGGACATAGGGGCACAAGGAGGTCAGGAGAGCAACGCCTGGCTGTGACCACACGTGCGGCCAGCGGAACGCCACACGCATAGGCTGGAGCGACCTTCCACGAAAGCCCCAAATGGCAAGCCCCTCGCTCCATCTAGGCTTGTGGTTTTCAAAAGAAAGGAAACCATAATGATTAGGGGTCCCGCCAAGAGGAAAGCACCCCACACGGGGGAACCCAAAGCATCATGCTTTTTGTGGGGTAAGCACTGGGTTTTAAAGAGATGGCTACGTGTTCGAAGTGACATGCGACTTAGTCCTCGCAGCGGAAACCGCGCTTTGTCAATGGTTCAGGGAACATCAAGCGGAAAACTGAAGGCCATTCAAGAGGTCCTTATCTTCCTTGAGGAAACAGCCAAAAAGAAACACATGCCCCGCATCATTTCATGGCCCATGAAGCTGCTTTGATCTTTCCAACATGGACATTCACTCGGCTGGCCTGTTTTGACAACCCCTGGCAAGCAATCCGGCCACTGCTTTTGATGGTGGGTCAAAACATGTTAGCTCTGCAAGGGTGAACAGGATCTAAGCAAATTCAATAGAGGGCGAACCACCAATCCACTGCCTGATTCTAATTATACAGCTCTTCAGCATAGGTGCCCTGTTCGAAAAATAGATGGATTTCTCCCTGGTAGGTTATGAAACAAACAGGTCAACCAGGAATTGCCATCCATTGTCTGCCAAGCCCAAAAAATAGAAGCTTCTCTCTAGTTGGTGGTTTGGATTGGTGGTTTGGTGGCTAAGGGGTTGTTTTCCATGTACCCTCTACAAAAGCCAGGGGTTCACATCCCCGAACCACCAATCCAAGCCACCAACTAAGGGCCGCCTGGTTCTAATAATTCAGCCCTTCATCATAGGTGCCATTTTGAACAAATAGATGGATTAGTCTGGTAGGTTCAGGCCAACCAGGGAGTTCTATCAATCCAAAAAAGGACATGCTCCTTGTATTCAGCTTCCCCGTAATTGGTGGTTTGGATTGGTAGTTTGGTGGGTGAGGGGTTGTTTTCCATCTACCCTCTACCCAAAAGCCAGGAGGCTCAAATCCCCAAACCATCCAAACCAAACCACCTACTGATTCAAAACCATCCAAACCCACCAACTAAGATGGGCGTTCCATGGTTGGTGCCAGAGTAGTGCTTGAAGGCCGCCAAGGATCTCCGTCTGCTGGATGAAGCCCCTCACCCGCTCCCTGCGCTCGCCCAACGACTCCTCATCGTACATCACAGTGAACGTCTGCTGCGTCTTGGGCATTGCGCGGCCGCTTGTGTCCGTGATTCTACTTATTGAGCTCTTCATCAGAGTGCCCTTTTGGGAAAATAGATGGATTCTCCCCTTGTAAATTGTGACACCAAAAAAGCACACCCATGCTCCTTATATTCAGCTTGCCTCAATTGGTGGTTTGGAGTGGTGGTGTGGAGGTCACGGGGGTTTCCCATTTACCCTCTACAAAAGCCAGTTCAAATCCCTAAACCGCCAATCCAAAAACCAAGAGGAACCTGAGCTGGGTCATTCCCCCCTTTGTCCAACTCAGCTCGCGGCTACCCCGAAGGGCCTCACAAGGCGGGCAGCGTGTTTGTGGTTTCTTCCCTTGGACGGGGCCCGCGCAGCCCTCCTTTGTGAGTTGGGCGTGCCTGCGGGATGGCAAGACAAGGGCGCAAGTAAACGACGCTCTTTCATGACTAAGTGATTACATACCAGCCCCAGTCGAGCCAGTTACCTGTATAGCAAGTGAGCAAGGAACCACCCTTTCAAAACCAAGAGGGAAAATGGCTGGTTGCCAACTAGATCTTGCTTTAATGGTTGTACAGTAAAGGGAAGCCAAAAGGAACTTGGTCCATTTACCCTAGTGAAACAACCCCCAAAGGAGTCTCCGAGACCCCAAGGAAAGTTGGTGATGTAATTATTCTTATCTTACTGGTTGTAAAGGTCCTGCAAGTCTATGGGTTGAGAATGGAAAATCGGGGAAAAAAACAACTCCCCCAGTTGCTCACCCAGTCTAGCCCTCCATTCTCTTCAGGGATCCTTCTCTTCACAAAAAAGATGGGGCAAGTTTGTTTGAACCTTGGATGCTGTCCAAAGAGACCGAGTGAAGATAGTGGCGAATCAACCCTTAGTCCTATCTCCGTGGATTTCAACGTGGACGAAACACGAGGCTCTTCCTTTTGGTCGTTGATTTCAGCAAAGGCCTGCACCCCTCCAAAACTGACTCGAACCGCTTGGGGGGATTTCAAAGGTGTTCGCGACCCGAGGTCTGGAAAGTCGAAATTCCTCGGCATCTACAGAGACCTGAGTGAACTCCTAGAAGTAGAAGATTAACATGGAACCTGACAGATAGGTCCTGGTCTTCCAGCATCTTCCTTTCAAAGGGACCGGGTCCCGGACGTCCGGGTTCCATGTGTTTTCATTGGTGGGAGGGTAGCAGCCCCCCGCAGAAACCTTGCCGCAGCTCCCAAAAGCCGCAAGCCGCGGGTCGGGGCCCCCGGGGCCCCCGGCGAGGCGCGGGTGGAGGGCGTCAGGGACCGCGACACGCCCTCGGATCGCGAGCGAAGGGCGCACTCTTTCCCCAAACAAGTGGGCAGCAAACCAAACGTTGCGCGGTTGCTTTCTGCTCCCCTGCTAAAAGTTGAACTTTTAGTGGTTGAATTCGGAAAACCCATCAGTTGGCAAAAAGTTAAAGTCCTAACATCCAAGCAGAATGCAACAAACCAAACGTTGCTCCAACGAGGAACAAGTTGCAGTAGTTGGAGAGAGCAGTTCTCGCATGGCACTCCCTGACGTCAACATGCACCCGTCGGGGTGCGAGACCAAATCCTGCCTAGCCGCTCCATACTGTGGACAAAATCCATTTCGCACCGCTCAGAAACCCTGGCTTCTGATGATTCCCCTGTAAATACCCACAAACACTGGCTTCTCTGGGTTTCAAAATGGTGCAGGATTTCGTCCCTTCACAGTATGGGCATGTCTCAAAGAAAAACACCTCAAAAGGGTTGTTTCCTCTTGGGTTCCCTTTACACAACCCAAGGCGTTGCCTCGGAAAACGATGAGCCACCATGCTGTGTTGTGTTGAGTACCCTCTGTCCAACCACACTCCGAGCCACAAAAGGGGTTTGCTGGTTTCCCTTACCAAGCCCAGTTGGTACCCTCTTTCCAATGGTAGCTTCGGGTTCTTGGGGCGTTCGTTCCCAAAAAGAGAGTTTGCTTCCAACACCCCATCGTCGGCGTCCGATTCTCCGCGGAGGGGCCTTTTTGAGTCGACTGAGGTAGTCTTTTGAGTTTCCGGGTCAAAAGCAGGCCTTCGACACATACTGTCCACCAGGCACCGAAAATAAGAACTCATAACCGACATGTTCTTACTGGGGGGTCATGGTTAGCTCGGGAAAACCCCGACCAATTTCTGCGGCTCGTCTTTTCGCTTCGCTTTGAACGCCGAAACGACCCCCTTCCTTCGGGGACAAATCCGCGCTCAGATGGCCAGTGCGAGCGTTCAGAGGCACCGAAACTCGAACTGGGCCAGACACTCGCAAAAAAAGAAACAACACACCTCTTTGTCAGGGCTTGAAACGGAAAAAAGTTGCCTGCAAAACAAGAATCTGGTGGAAATCGGAAAATCATGGACAACTCCAAAAGGGCAAACAAATCATCGCGTCCGTCTGGCAACGAGGTCTGGCTTCATGTTTGTCTTCTCGAATCTTCATCTGCCGGGTTCCCGCACATGGTGGGCCTCCAGCTGGTCCTGCCCGGCGGCTGGTCATTGGAGTCCCCCTAAACCAACAGGGATTGTAGCGTTGCCCAAAATCGCGGGGTGTCTCTCAAAATAGGGGAATCCCCCCAAAATGACGGGTTCCCCTTTGGTTTTCTGCTGGCTTGAACATTCCGATTCCAAATTCCAAGGGTGGGTCACAGGAGGAAGGCACACAAGTGAGACACCTCCCAAGGGGAAATTCGCCAAACCAGACAAGCACATCTGTGGATCTGTGGGTGTGTGTTTTTGAGTGTACCCTGTTTGGAGTGGGAATCTAAGTCTTTCCAACTCGGCAACGTTGATGGTAACATGTCAAAAGCTGGGGCATGCTTCGTCGCGCTGCTTGAGCCGCGGTCAAGATACGTTGTTCCCGGAATGAGGAAAATAGGTGGTGAACGCCCTATGGACCATGTACAGCAAAAATGATGACAGCACCCTGGTTTGTCTCAAAGTGGGTCCCTTGGTGTTGCAACCGCTCTGCCCAAAGGACCTGGACATAAATGGATTTTGGGTGGACTAAGAGTGAGCCAAGGCAGGTGGAAACGCTTTGAAGGGCTGACTCAAAAACACGCCCTTTAGAACATCAACCCAAAAGGAAGCAAACGTAAAAATCGCCGGCCATGGTGATGGGTGTGTCTTTTTTTGTGGAACCCCTCCAAACTGTCCCTTTTTGTGCTTCCTCCTCGGCACCTATCCCAACAGGTCTGATAAGATGCAACCGACAAACGACAGGCCGCAAAGACCGCATCGATTCCGGGACTGGGGGGGCCCGGGGGGGGGGGAATTCTCACAAGCCTCAGGCAGGGTATGGGGCAAAGAAATTTAAGGGTATCCCTTTTGGGCTGGTGATCTTTCAGGAAAATATCCTCAAGAAAGGACGTTGAACAAATGTCAAACCCACTTTTTCTGAGCTGTCCAAACTGATCCCCTGGTCTCAGTGAAATTCATTTTTAGCGGGTTAATTGGCAACTGCCGCTCAACCCCTAAAAAAGAAACGACCGGATGACTGGGAATCACCAAAAGTTTGAGGGTCCCCCTCAAATCAGCCTGATTGGAAAACCACCCGAAAACGGAAAATCCGTGTTGGGCCCCGGGGTCCAATCCGTCCGCAGACCCACCGAAGACCCACCCAACGAGCCTTGCGGGTCTTGTGAACCTGCCGATCAGATGGTTTGATGAGCTCAAAAAGTGAAGGCAGCCTCCTACTTGGCTCGGCCCCCGATGGGTCTGAATTTGAATTGGGGACCCTTTGGTGGACATCATTTGCATGGTCCACGTATATATTTGAGTGAATTTTAACTGGGGATTCTTTGGACGCCCACCAGCCCACTTTTGAGGGGATTCCCTATTTGGATTTTGTCAGAGTCTTCTTTGTTTCCAACGTGACACCTTCGACGCACTTGTAGGGCCTCCTCAATTGCCCCCGCCGCCACCAACGCCGCCGGGGGTCGCACGACAAACGGAGAACGGGAACAGGAAGGCGCCGAGAAAACCGACCCCAAGCGCTGGTTCTATACTTGTTCTTGCTGGTCAGCAGGACAACACATATGGGTGTGGGTCAATATTCTGGTGTGGAACGTTCCGCGGTGACGCGGACGTCTGGAACGAGTCAGTTACGTAAGGCTGGTTGTTCCGGACCTCTGGGAAGACATGTGTGGAGTCCTCATCAAGCACACGTGAGCGAGAGGCAAAACCTAAGACTACTTTGGGCGGGGGCTTCGCTATATCGTTCTGCAATGTTTCAGACACTGGTGTGTTTATGTCAAGGAAGGGTGGAAGGGGGAAAGAGAAAGAAGGGAGGAAGAGAGCAGAGGAAGAGAGACTGGGAGGAAGAGAAAGCAGGAGGAGAAAGGACGAAGGGAAGAAGGATGGGGAGGAAGGGATAAAGGAATCCAGGGAGTAAGGGAGCAAGGAAGGATGGGGCAAGGGAAAAAGGAGGGTGGAAGGGAAGGGAGGAAGAGGAAGGGAGGAAGAGGAAGGGAGGAAGAGGAAGGGAGGAAGAGGAAGGGAGGAAGAGGAAGGGAGGCAGGGCAGAAGAGGAAGGGAGGCAGGGCAGAAGAAGAAGGAAGGGAGCAAGGGAAGAAGGCAGGAAGGCAGGGCAGGAAGGCAGGAAGGCAGGAAGGCAGGAAGGCAGGAAGGCAGGAAGGCAGGAAGGCAGGAAGGCAGGAAGGCAGGAAGGCAGGAAGGGTGTAGATGCTGCGCCTCCCCACAAGCTCCATGACATGCTTGTTGACGCTGGTTCCAGACCGCCCACAAGCATGGGAGGTGGAGCAGGGCCCACACGCTGACCACCACTGATTGATGGGTAAGCGGTGGCCCGCCTTTTGTGCTTTCCGGGTGTCGTTAGGTATCGTTCAGAGTATCGTTCAGACAGCCCTCCAAAACCAGAAAATTTTGCCCATATTCTCTCAGTCCAAGGCATGTGCCAAAACCAGCTACACGTTGCGCGCGTGCGCCTCGCAGCCCGGCTGTCCGGTGACTTGGTAGTTGCAAGCGAGACTTATAAACAACTTGAAGCACAGCAGCACCATGCGAGCACGAGGGGTGTGGTTTCGGTGTCGTTTTGGGTATCGTTTTGAGCAAGCAGTACTTGGGTGGCCAAAAATGCAGTTCACACTCCCCGAATGATCCGAAAAGGTGTTTTCGACGCTCCAAAATTACTTTTGGGTATGGTTTGGCGTGCCGACTGTGGCGCCTGCGGGTGCAAGCAAGAAGCATGAGCAGTAGGAAGGAGAGCAATCGGTGGCCCAGAATGCAGTTCACACCCCCCGAATGATCCGAAAAGGTGTTTTCGACGCTCTAAAATTACTTTTGGGTATGGTTTGGCGTGCCGACTGTGGCGCCTGCGGGTGCAAGCAAGAAGCATGAGCAGTAGGAAGGAGAGCAATCGGTGGCCCAGAATGCAGTTCACACCCCCCGAATGATCCGAAAAGGTGTTTTCGACGCTCTAAAATTACTTTTGGGTATGGTTTGGCATGCCGACCGTGGCGCCTGCGGGCGCAAGCAAGAAGCGTGAGCAGTAGGAAGGAGAGCAAGCAGTACTTTGGTGGCCCAGAATGCAGTTCACACTCCGCGAATGATCGGAAAAGGTGTCTTCGACGCTCCAAAATTACTTTTGGGTATGGTTTGGCGTGCCGACTGTGGCGCCTGCGGGTGCAAGCAAGAAGCATGAGCAGTAGGAAGGAGAGCAATCGGTGGCCCAGAATGCAGTTCACACTCCCCGAGTGATCCGAAAAGGTGTTTTCGACGCTCCAAAATTACTTTTGGGTATGGTTTGGCATGCCGACTGTGGCGCCTGCGGGTGCAAGCAAGAAGCATGAGCAGTAGGAAGGAGAGCAATCGGTGGCCCAGAATGCAGTTCACACCCCCCGAATGATCCGAAAAGGTGTTTTCGACGCTCTAAAATTACTTTTGGGTATGGTTTGGCATGCCGACCGTGGCGCCTGCGGGCGCAAGCAAGAAGCGTGAGCAGTAGGAAGGAGAGCAAGCAGTACTTTGGTGGCCCAGAATGCAGTTCACACTCCGCGAATGATCGGAAAAGGTGTCTTCGACGCTCCAAAATTACTTTTGGGTATGGTTTGGCGTGCCGACTGGCGCCTGCGGGTGCAAGCAAGAAGCATGAGCAGTAGGAAGGAGAGCAATCGGTGGCCCAGAATGCAGTTCACACTCCCCGAGTGATCCGAAAAGGTGTCTTCGACGCTCCAAAATTACTTTTGGGTATGGTTTGGCGTGCCGACTGGCGCCTGCGGGTGCAAGCAAGAAGCATGAGCAGTAGGAAGGAGAGCAATCGGTGGCCCAGAACGCAGTTCACATTTTCCGAGTGATCCGAAAATGTGTTTTCGACGCTTTTGGGTATGGTTTGGCACGCCGACTGTGGCGCCTGCGGGTGCAAGCAAGAAGCATGAGAGCAGTAGGAAGGAGGGCGCAGAGTGCAGTTCACACCCCGCGAGTGATCCGAAAAGGTGTTTTCGACGCTCCAAAATTACTTTTGGGTATGGTTTGGCCCTTCCAGCAACCTCCAAATAGCAAGCCGGGGAACTCAGTTTTGAGTAACAAGCCGGGGAGTGTAGCTTTGGTCAAAAGCACCCAATAGGCGAATCTTGAGTGTCCAGTGGCTTGTGGGTATGGTTTGGCTGGCTTGTGGGTATGGTTTTGCCCTCCCGGCAACCACAAAAACAAGGCGTGCAATTCCGGAACCCAAAGACCAACCCCGCCTTGATAAAGTGATCGACGCATATTTTGACCGTGACTCGTGAGCCTGTGTGGGCTGTATTAATTCTACTTTAAACGAGTCCCCTATGGTTCTCCGCGTTTCGCGCGTGGGTGCAGTGCCCGAAGAAACCTCTGTTCGGGTCGCGCAAAGCGCCCAATGAACCCTCTGCGAGGATTGCGCGTGTCAAAGCGCCCTCCCTGCGACGCCGTGTGGATTTGGAAAGTGCCCGGCGAACCCCCTGCAGTGAGCAATTTCTGCGGCAGCACTCTTGGAGCTCGGGCTCTTCTCCAAAGCCTTCCGGATCACAGATCTGCTCGGGCAAGTCAGGCCTTCCCATCCTCCTGCAGCAGCAGATCTCTGAGGAGCAAGCGCAAGCCCGCCAAGGCGTCCGCGGCCTGGCCCGTTGCGGGCCCTTTGTGTGCGCGGAAGGATGTGCGCTGAAGGAGCTGCGCGTGTGGTTGAAAAAGCAAACGCACTAGGTAGGCCTCACATTGGCTGCTCCGGGACGTTCTCGGAGTATCGATGGGGTGTCGTTTTGGGTATCGTTCTGGGCGCGTGTAGTGTCACGAAAAAAACAAACTTGCAATAAGCTAGAGCCAAGCAAGCGCACAAGAGCCTTCTCTACCTTGCGGTAGTCATGTGATCAGCGGACTAGACTATGCTTCTGGCTCCCAAGCATTGGCGGCTTTGCTTTCAGTACCAGCGCAGTACGCAAGTTACACTTTGGCAGCTCCAGCTCGAAGGTCGCAGCGTGCGCCGGTGCCTGCGGGCGCCTGTGCGTGTGCGTGTGCGCGGGTGCGTTAGTGATCCATCTGGGTGGGCCCATCTCGTGCACACATGTGCCCACCATGCATTGCCGAGGAGCATTGACAGGAGCTGTCATGGCAACTTACAGCTTGGGGCAAAAAAAGGCTCACACAGTGCAAAATAGAAGCGCGAAGCGCCAGTTGCACGTCATGCGACGTTATCGTTTTTGGGGCTTCGCTATATCGTTCCCGAGAAAAAACACAAAACAAGCAACGCGAAATCGCCGAAGACATATTTTATGACGAGAGAGTTTAGCCTTTTGCTCGTTCATTTAGTGTAAGATGGATAGATGGATGGATGGATGAATGAATGAATGAATGAATGAATGGGTAGATGGATGAATGAAGCGATCAGGGGCGCGCGGCCGTACGATACGGCACCTCCTTGAAGGCTTCTTCGGCGGCATGGCGGGCCGCGTAAGAAGCGTAGCTACTGTGCATGTGGACTTGGTGGCAAATTGCTCCGCTGTGTCTGGAACACGTCTGGAACGGGTCTGGAACGGGGTCTGGAACGGTTACGCGAGTGGCTTGCACTTGGTAGCAAGCTGCATGTAAACATGGTCGTTTCAACAATGTGACGACCGAGAGCGGTATCGAACCGTTACCGTATCGTATCGAACAGATTGCGGCGGGGTTGACCCTTAACATTCACAGGCCGTTCCAAAAACACATCTGTCAACAGGACCGCTGCTTAATTCCATCCAAGTCCCAATGATTACAAGCCACGCAGCCCCAACCACCAAAGCTCGACAAGCAAACCCCATCGTTAGCACCTCAGGCTTTTCTCGAACACCAGCCTTAACGCGTAGCATTTGGCAAAACAAAGGGGGGAGTCAATAACCTACCAAATCACCTTACCGTAAATACTCTAAACTAGACATAAATATATAAAAAAGGTCTGGAACGGAAGGTCTGGATCATGTTTCTAGGCAAGGTCTGGAACGGAGGTCTGGAACGGAGGTCTGGATCGCATGTGGGTTCCGGACCCTGTTCCGGACCTTATAAATTGACTCGCAGCCATATGTTCTCAAAAAGGCAACGGGGTACGGATCCAACCCAGCAAATCCAGAAACTCGATTTGACCCTTCTGCTTGGGTGCTCGATTCGCCAAGTTAGTAAGTGGTTGGTAACCTAGGTTGTAGCCCACTTGTCAGTCCCCCCTACCTTGTTGTATGAGGGAGTTATACGGTATGCCCCAAATCGCAGACTTGCCAACTTTTAGCGGTGCTGAGTGGATTTCGCTCATGGACTTTTGCGCAAATTGCCCCTATCGCCAGCTGCACAGCCAAAAGGAAACCTGCACATATAAGGTAGTCCATACATGTGTCCAAGAAAGTTTCAGAAAGGACTACCCTCGTAAGTGCAGACGATGATTCAGCACTTTCATCCAATCGGTTTGTAGTATTGGGGTTGTTGTTTGAACTGCCAAAAAGAAAGCGCCCGTAGTTTCTGGGACCATTCTGAGACGACCCTGGGTGAGTTGGAAAGCTCGCAAAGGGGAACACCCATGGGGCGACCTGAAAAACCAATTGAGAAAGACATCCACAACCGCACTCCCGCTCGATTGGACTGGCCAGAAATGTTGGGATCTTCAGATTCTGTTTCGTATTCTGTCTATGCTGAAAGCAAGTTAGATTTCTTCCATTTGACTGAGCCTTCTGGGAAAAATGTGTAAATATGTCCAGTAGTGAAATCGTTCATGGGGCTGCGCCGCTCGCAGGCGGGGGGGGGGGAGGGGGTGGGTCCGATTTGACATAGGCTGGCTTTTGGGTGGGTTTTTTGCCTTGGGTGTTCGGAGTTGGCAAGTGGTTACCTGGCTTATCACCTACTTACCAGCATGAGGTTATAGGTTGCCAGCCACTCCCTAACTTGGCCGAACACCCAAGTACCCTGGGGGTGGTTTAAGGAGATAAAGGAAACCATTTGAGACACGCGGTGTTTTGTCTTCTCCCGACCAGATGAATCCTCGTTCGGACTCAACCCCTTCAGTGGGGTATACCCCGGATCTCTAAGCAGGCGTGTGATACTTCCGGAGCCAACATCTTCCTCCCATCAAACGTGGAAGCCCGAAGGGCCAGGGGTCCTTGGTTTTTCACCCATGGTCCTCAAAAAGGGACCAGTTCTCCGAGCTCCACGTTGCAACGAGGAGGGTATTTGACAAGCAAAGGAAGCCGATGGGTGTTCGCTGCCGGATCGGAATTGCTCGCCGCGGTGAAAAACCCACCGAGATGGCCCAGAGAAACCACTTTGGCTTTCCTTAAACCAACCAAGAAACGGGGCCACACAAAAAAAAACTCGACGCACGCACCCCAAGCACTGGAGCCTATTGGCACTGGGTCAAACTCACTTCCGACATCCCTGCGGACAGGTTGCGTCCAAAAGGCCGAACTGTTGGATCCGAATCCAAACGGGTGTGTCTTCTTGTAAGGGACCCCCCCCCACAACTATATTTATATATATACATACATACATTATATATATATATGTATACATACATGTGGTAGCCGTCCTTTTTGGTATTCCTCTAGAACCCCTGCTAAAAGCGAATACATTCCAGTGGGTTAAATGGAAACCACTAACCCTAACAAGCCAGAAACTTAAGGATCCGGACGGATGGGAACCCCCCAAGCAAAGGCAGCACCAAAACAAGACACCCCCAATCCGCCGATTCTAAACATCGATGCACCAAACCCGCTGCTCTGTAGCCTCCATTTGCTGGAAGTCACCTGGAAATGTTTTAAATATATATATATATATGTATAATGTCCAGTAGTTCCCTTTAAAACCAACAAGGGAAAAATATATATATATATATATCCCAGAGGCTCCTGGAGCTTTCAATGGAAGACCAGACCCCTCCATTAGACTCTTTGGAGGTGGTTGAGGGCCTCAAAACAAGGTTGCTTGAAGGCCCTAAATCAATCGAATTGGAGCCTCCGGGACACATACACATATACATATATATAAATATATATTTTTCTTAAGCAAATGGAAGGTAGGGCTAGTTCCAAAGGCCGAAGCCAACGCAGAACGCCGCGCCGCAGCCAAAGAGTCCCAAAAAAAAGAGTCCGTGTCCCGAGTCCGAGTGGATTACGCATCTTCCCTTTCCTACTGTGCATTCCTACTGTGGTGACGCGAAGTCCATTTCGCAGCACCGAAACGAGTCACCATGGGAATGAAAACATAAGGTTTGTTGGTACTTCCAGGGAAATCATGCTAATCCGGGGTTTGTTAGGTGCGAAATGGATTTCGTCCATCCACAGTATCACGGAACATGTCCTTTTGGAAGGCCCCTGTCATCATGAAAGAGCGTCCAAAAACCCGCGCCGCCGAAAACACCCGGGGGGGCCGGGGGGCCGGTTCCCGGTGCAGCCTGCCTTGTCCATGCGGGACAGGCCATTTGGGGACCAGCCCGGAGTCAACCTGGCCAGGTGAGTCATAATCAAAACCCGGTACAAAAATGGTGAACCCAGAACCATGTAAAGAATTAAGAAGGCGGGCGCAGCTATTTGTGGTTGAGATGGTCCCTTACCAACCTTCATCTACCCGGGTTTTGATTGTGGGTCATGTGGCGAGGCCGGAAACATGCAGTTGAGCAACCAGATGGCTTCGAAGACTTCTGTGAAGCCAAAAAGCTCAGGGTTCTGCGAAAAATGTCCACCGCCTTAAAAAATGGCATTGGGGGAGGGGGGGGGGGGGGAAACACTCTCGAGGGGTTCTTGAATTCCGCTGGTTTCAGTTCGGTTCTTGGGTTCTTTGGAGAAAGAAAAGGCGCCGATTCTGGTTGGGAGGCTCCCATCATTTGAGGAACAATCTGTCCTGTGGGACCACCCCGGTTAAACATGGAATTGGGGGAGGGCGGGGGGGACGGGGGTGGACGGGGGTGACCTGTAGAATTCCACTTATGGTCAGCCATTGTCCCTTTTATGAAGGCTCAAGGTTGTGGGATCAAGGGGGTTATCCAACCACTTCTGTGATACCAGGAAATCTCCCCCTTTATACGTGAGGTTAGTCTTTGGGAAGCTTTTTTGGGTTTCTGTTGTATCACAGAAGTGGCCTTTCCCACTTGTTGCGTAACGACAAAAAGCTTATGGAAGTTAATTCAGAAAAGTCTAAGGATCCAGCCCAACAGCAATCAAGAAAAAGGGATTCCGCATCATGGTCTCTTCTCGAGCCAGCACTCTTCTAGCACAATTCAGGGAACGAGATAGACCTGCTTGTAAATCTGCTGGTCTGTGCCCTCGTCTGTGACCTACCAAGAGGCACGCCTGGTCATATCGTTGTAAGTGGTTGGCTGAGAACATCTTATCTGAACTCAGGCGTGCCTCTTGGTAGGTCAGTGACCCCCAGCTTTCCCAAAAATCAACACAAGATGGGAACTCCAACATAAGATTCCAGATGAAATAGACAGGATACAGAGAGCCTGTCATGTAAAAAAAAGAATGCTCTTGGTAACTGGTGATGGAAACCCAAACCAACCAGACGGAACTATTTTTTTTGGGGAGGCACGGTCGCCGGCCAACAGCGTCTACCGAAAAATCAGAAGCCGCGCAGCTGCGAGAAAAACGCGCTTTGCGACCAAGGCCTAGAGTTCAACCGAGTCGCCACTAAAAGAGTGGCAACCAATCTAAGGGTTGATGCCGATCCCAGTCTTTCCAACCATTGTTCTTTCCGAAAACCGCTACGGTTCCCTGGGTTTCCAGAGGTCTTCTAGAAAGAAGGATCCCTGGAAAGAATGGGGCTCAGGTAGCACTAGAACCAAGGGGACCATGACCCAATTTGGATGATGACAATCCTGAAGGAGAAAAAAAGCAATGGTGGTTACATGAACCATTGTGTTTTATGGTGGCCTGCCAGAAATTTCAGGTCCAGAAGCCCCCACCTCCAGCATGTTTGTTTGGTGCCCAGGTCGGCTTATCCATCGCTTTCGCCCACAAAAGACGCGTCTTACAGGAACACAGAGAACCTCACAACTGTGGCTTCCAAAACCTGACCTTCTTTTTCACAAACCCTCCAGTCATTCTTCAACCGACCCCCCTGAAACCAGGGGAGCCTTGCTGGCCTTCAGTAGGTATGTGTTCCCGTCTCGGGTAAGCAAGTTTAATTGATTAGGGCACCTCGCCCCAAACACCACCCAAAAAGCGGCTGTTGCAGAAAAACCCACCCCCTCCAAATACCCGTTTTTCAAGGCATATTTTGGAGAACCAGGTTTTCTATGGCAGGATAACAGCATCTTTTTTTGTCTGGGGTTGACAGTAAGAAAAGTGTGTCGTTCAACAATTGATACTAACAGTTCGGAAAGTGCCGTAACTGCCTAAAAGTTCGGGGCGGGTCTTTGGGTATGTCTTTCCTTTTGCCTTTCGTTTCAAGGCCCAAAAAAGGGGCACCAGGACAAGCACACAGACACCCAAACGGAAATACATACCTGCTGTGGTGATTCCAGCAAAGCCGTGTAGCCAAGGCAGCCGCTTAAAACTGAGCGGCGCCAAAACAAACATGTGGCACATGTGCCACATCTTAAGGTTCACCTGCCAGAACCAAACATAACCCATCTCTCCCCGCAGGGTTGCTTGGCTTGGATTGGAAGTACCTCCCAACCGGACGCACCTCGCCGGGGACGGCAGCAGCTCCGGTTCTGGGGCCTGGCGCTCGCGTCTTGGAGGCGCTCGCTTAACCGGGGGCACGACTTTTTTCGACGGTTTCTGGGCATCGAAGCCCGAAAATGCGGCCGTTTCCTCTCTAACCCACCACTGAGGTGACTTTGATCATGGTAAAAGAATGAGGCCAGCTCAAGCTAAAAGAACTGGCGACTGAAGGTTCAATTGGGGGTGTCTTTGTTTCGGGGATGTTGTCAGGACATGCAGGGGATGTTGAAAAGGATGCTGGGGATGTTGACGGGCTAGTGTAAAAGACGTACATTTCGTGAGAAAATGCTGCAAAACACGACATGCTGCAAAACATGAAATGCTGTTGGCCAAGACCAAAAAAAACAGGAAAAACAAAAACAGAAACAAAACAAAAATCCGCACCAAGCAGACCTGGCTCTCTAGTGCCAATAATCAACAGGCATGGGTGGATGTCCTTGGCTGCACTCTCTGGTGGACATCATGTACAGGGGTTATGTCCACCATTTGAACACGTTCCCTGTTGATATTAATAGCCAAGTGGGCGTGCTCTTAGTGGAAGCCTTCTTTCGGTCTTTGAACGAAAGAGAGGAAGCCAAGCATGCTGGGAGGTCCCCTAAATTCAAGACCAGCCCATTGAAAACCCTACATGATTAGCAGCAAGGGAAGGATAAAAAACTAACTTACAAGTTTAACAACTCCAAGCGGTTGGCAGTGGGCTGATTTAAGTTCGCCGTTGGGATTTCGGACCAACTGGTGGAAATTCCGGGGGCCGGACGCAGTTCGTTCGGTGTCCATGTTCGAACCCCGCACCCCAACCCCCACCCTCCACAATTTTTCGCTTCGGCCCCAGACTTGCGCCAAGAAACACCGACTGATAGGAGCTCGGCCCAGTTGATTTAAACAATACGCGCACGCAACGCAAAGGTGGCAATGATTTGCCTACGCTCGAATATGCATGGACCTTTCGGAGTTCGCGACAAAAACAAATGTAAGTGTGTGTTTCTCAAAATAGGAGTCCCCTAAAACGGTTGGTTCCCTGTTCGTTTCCCTTTAAATGCCAACCAAAAGGGGTCCACCGTGTTGAGAAGCTCCCAAATTTCAACGTAAATGCAAATGCCAAAAGGGGACCCTGAAGCAATGGAGGGTGTAATGACCCGCGAGAGGGTCAAGGGCATTCGCAGATGTCTCGTTGGGACCCATCGTTAAAAGCAAATGTCAAAAGGGTTCCCCAATGTCAAAATGCAATGAATGCACAAAAGCCCAGCTCAAGAGGGTGCGTTTTTTTAACGCGAGAGGACATTCAGGCAGGCCAGGCAGGTTAACTTGATCAACCCCCAGATCCTCAAAAACGGACGGACGGCAAAATGTGCCGAGGTGTCAACCTAACCTCCTAGTCTTCCAGGCTGGCCGGAGCAACGACAGGAGCCAGTGTGGCTGTGCACGAGCCTGCATTCGTTTATTGCTGGAATAGAACTGGTCTAGTACTGGTGAATGATGGTCTAAATACAGGGCTGTGGGAAATGCCCACTTCTGTGATACAAAAAAAAGGTCCCCCAAACACTACCCCGCCATTTAAAAAGGGGATTCCCTTGTATCACAGAAGTAGTTGGATAAACCCCTTGATCCCACAACCCTTTGCCAGTCAAGTGTTGGAGCACGTTTACAGGGCCTTTAAGTGAGACACCACTGACACCCTTCCAACATGGTTTTAACGGGGTTGTCTTGAAACACAAAACATTGCTTCGATTTTTCTTTTCACCCTCAAAAAAGACAAGCCACCCGAATGGATCCGATACCAACCATAGGAACCAGTTGGTCGGCGTTGGATCTTCCTAGAAAAAATGCCCCTAGTTTCCGACACCTCCGCACATGCATGTTGTTTTAGGGTATGCTAGTGGGGCTGCCTTTTTTGTAACGGGAAACCAAAAGAACAACACGCCTTTTTGTTTTCCAGGGTTTCTGCGCGGTGTTATTTTTGGCTTCCCTCCCCCATATATATATATATATATATACATATATATGTATATATATATACGTATATATATATATATATGTGTGTGTGTGCGCGCATTCTTTTCAAAAATCATTTTGTTGGGAGGACACCAGCCATTTTTCCGGGGGCCTTGCATTTTGAGACACACCCGTTTAGAGACAAACCCAACCGCACCCTCAGATCGATCCCATCCGATCCGCCTGCGCTCGGAAGACGACCACCTTCACATGGATGGCACAGTGCTTGAGTCGACAACATACTGAGTGGTTAATGCCTTTGTTGCGGGGCACCCCTTCCGTGTGTTTGAAGGGAAGCAGAAAGGCAAACCGGTGGGAGTCGCCCAAGGAAAACAAAACCAAGTCCTACTTGCAACCGGCCCAACTCACTCACAAAAGTAGGTTGCAACCTAGCTTACTAACCGCTAACTTGGCGAATCGTGCACCCAAGCAGCTTCTGTTTCAGGGTAGCAACCCCATCACCCAATACCCACACGCGTTCCCGGGCTGCTGCATGATGGTCAGCTTCTCGGCCCGCTCCTGGCTGAGCTCCAAAGTATCCTGTGACTTGTCGCAGAATTAGACAGATGATGTAAACCCCTGACAAAAAGAGGCATGTTCCACGAAACCTTTGCAGGCGCAAAGTCGACTTCGTCAGCACTTCGGTCTCTTGGTCCCTCTACCCGTACCCGCCTACCCGCCCGCTGGTTCCAGTACTGCGGATGGGAACGAAATCCATTTCGCACCACCGTTCAGAAACCCTGGTTTCTGATTCGATTCCCCTGTAAATGCCAACAAACGGTATGGCTTCATTTCCACGGCTTCATTAAGTGGTGCGAAATGGATTTGGTCCATCCACAGTATGGTCAGCAATCCTGTGCCCATTGCCAATGAAGATTCTATAAGGTGTTTGCTTCTTCAACGGCACCCCTTTTGGATGGGCTTCTAAAATGGGCAACTCGCTTCCGTGCTCCACCGGCCGCGGTTCGCCCGGGGCTTCGCCCGCGGCGACGGGAAATTCGAGGCCCCCGGCCGCCAGCTCCGGCCGCTCCTCCCGCTTCCGCGGCCTCGGCTTCGGCAGCCCCGGCGTCGGGCCATGGGTGGAGAGGCTCCGGAAAGAAAAGCGGATTTGGATTTTTTTGGGGGAAAAAGAAAAACCAGGGTAAAACAATTGGGAAAAAACACATCCAGGGTAACAAATGGGGAAAAAAAGACAAATCCAGGGTAAAAAAGGGGAAAAAGAAAAAGCCGGGGAAAGAAGTTGAAGAAGTGTTGGAATGGTTTTCTGCCCCGGAACCGGAGAAAGAGCATTCTTCTTGTTGCCCGGTTGGTGAAAAAGAGCGTTCTTCATCGGGAGAGAGTTTCCTGGAATTGAATTCCAATCATTGCAATGATTGCAATATTGAGAACAAAGGGCATGTTTCATCGGTAGAGAGCTTCCTGTTGCCCTTTTCGCTCTTTTTCCCCCCGGAAACTCTCTACAGATGAAACATGCTCTTTTTCACCAACAGAGCAACAGGAAACGGTTGGCTCTTGTTCCCCCGGAAACCTTTCTACCGATGGCCTGTGGGGGAAGTGCACATACGTTCTGAAGCAAATGGACCAAAGAGACTTGGCTCAGGAAAGCCAAGCCAAAAAGAAACCACCAGGGATTTGTGTTGGGTCGCGCCGAAATCTGTCTTCTGTCGTGGCTTGGCCAGAAAATGTCCAAGTTTGTTGTTTACCAAAATTGTCCAAACCCAAAAAGTGTCGAGTCCGAAAAGGAACTCAGGGAGTGGAGATGTGTCGTCTGCGAGGGAATCACCAGTTTTGGGCAAGCGTTTTTAGGGCTCATTCTAACTTATTCCCTCAAATCCAGGAAGAAAAACGAGCAACCCGGCGACCAAATCGGCCAGACCCCCTGAACAACCAAGACAGTACCAGTTTTGGGCTAAGGGAAGAAGGGAACTATGCAGTGTGCGCAAGGGTCCCAAACAGCGCAGCAAGGGCAATTTGAAAAACCTGATTAGAAACAACAAAACACCAGCGGCTCTGCAAGTCAAACAGCCCAAAAAAGAAAGCCATCCAAAAGAATTTCCGAACTAGGGTGATGCTTGGGGTTCCAAGTCAGTCTGAGGAAACAACAAGGGCCCTGCAATTCTACCTGGCTTTCGACTCTCTTCTTGGACGGGCTGGGTCGGAAAAACGGTTTGCCTGGCAAAAAGTGAATATTGCCCGGGAAAAGATGATAATTTGCCACAAAGTCAGCTGCAGCTTACCAATCGGGCTTGGTGTTTCTGGGCCTAGTGGGACATCAGCCCCCCCACCCCCACCCCACCCCCCAGCCCATTTTTCCCCAACAAACAATGGTTTCATTTCCATGGTTTCAAAGTGGTGCGAAATGGATTTGGTCCATCCGCAGTACCAGGAAACGTTATGGCTTCAACCGTGGCTTTTCATTTCGTGGCGCGGTGCGATTCCGTTCATCTGCAGGAGGGTAAATCTTTTTTTCGCACTGCATCACCAAGCAGAACTCAAACAAAGCAGCAGCCTTCATCCACACTTGGTGCGCGTGTGTGTCTGTGTTTTTGTTTTCTGGTTAAAAAAATGGATGGGTTTTCCTACCTGGGGCTTAAACTCAGTTGTTCAGTGACCCTAGGAAAAAAAGGGAACCCTTTTTTCGGAAGACCATTTTAGTGGGGGAGCCACCAAAAAAAAGGGAAAAGGGAGCCACTGAACGACTGAGTACAACCAGCTACACCCCTAGCCTTCCAGAAGTCAACCGCCGCAGCTCCCGAGGCACCCGAACCGAGGTCCCGGCTTCTGATCCGACGCCGGCGCCTTGAAGCGGTTTCGGTTGGCCGGCCCCGGAAGTGGCCGTGTTTTACCTGAGTTTATGTAAGAACTGCGCCTTTTTTAGCTCGAATGCGGAGGATAGGGGGGTGGATGGGGGGGGGAGGTGGATGGGGGGGGGAGGTGGATGGGGGGGTGTGGATGGGGGGGGAGGTGGATGGGGGGGGAGGTGGATGGGGGGGGAGGAGGTGGATGGGGGGGGGGAGGTGTGGATGGGCAATGGGGTCATCATGTCCGTTTTTTTTTTCAGGTGATTCCAGCCCAAAACGCCAAAATGGGTATGTGCTTTTGGTGTCCTTCTTGGTTGGGAAAATAGATGGGTTTCCCTGGTAGTTGAGAAAAAACCACCAGGTAAGCCAGGAATCGCCCTCTATCAACCAAATCAACCAAAAAGGACACCTATGCGTATTTGTTTAGTTGCTGAGTAGGTCGTTCTTTGGGTTTCCTATTGGTTTCCCTTTGAAACTGCACAAACTTTCTGGTGCGATAGGTAAAAACCAATTTCAAGTGGTGGTTTTCTTCAAGAACCGAAGCCTGGCTGTGAATCTGGTGCGAATAAGAGAGGCGGCACTCTGAATCTGAATGCCCAGCGCCGCATCAAGAGGAAAGCAAAGGTCATTCCCAAAGGGGCAAACCTCGCGCGTACCCGGGAGCTGCACAGAAGCCTGCTTCCGCACAGAGCGCATATTGCGAAATAGAAAAGCAAAATCATCGATCGTTCCCCAGTCAAGAATGCAATCGTAAAGTTCGTCCATTTTGACATGTAGCTTCTTAAGCGGAGCGCCTTTGAGAAAGCGCTGCATATTCAGGTTAATTACCTTCTTCATGGCGGTGCTCATGGCATCACGCCGACAGAGCTTCCATCCAGCGGGCATCGTAAGAACAGCAGGCCAAGAAGGCAAGAGCACCTTTTCAGACTGAGTGTTCTGAAAGACAGCGAACTGCGGAAGGCACTGCTTAATAAGTCCGTTCCAGAGCATCCGAAGTTTCCATTGTGAGCCTCTTTAAGAGTACGACAGCGTCTGAGGAACGCAGCGCCCTTCCCGTTGACAAGTAAAAAGCAAATCAACGTATTCACATTCCCATCGCTGGGGGGCGCAAAAAAAGCACCACTCGACCATCCTCCTCAAGTGCGCAAGGTCGGTCATACTCCCACCCCAGTCTTCAGCAGCCGCCTTTGTGGGAAAAGGGGAGTCAGGCAGCGCAACAAACTGCCGACGCCAAGCAACCACAACGGTGTTAACAACCTGCCGGTGAGCAAAAACATCAATTGTATCCAGTGGAACACTCATCGAACTCTGGCGCCTCATCAGGAAGCTGATCAACCAAGACATCCTGCTTGTGACGCCTACCAATTTGTAAGATATCTCTTTGGCGTGCTTCCCAACCCCGAAGGAGCACAGAGCAGTACCTTTGCAATAAGGGCCACTGCTTTTTGACATGTTCACCCATGCAGTTCGTAGCAAACAGCATATGCCTAGAGCAGCTCTTCCAATCAGCCCATTGCGTCCAATCATGGGGCCAATCATTTCTTTGATGCTGCCAGTGGGGGCATTCCCAGAGAATGAGAGACGTCGCAAACATCTGCGCCCAACAGGAAGTTCCTCATTCCATCGGCCGAATGACAAATCCGAAATGTCCATCCCATCTTTCAGTAGCATCAAGCGTCTCCTGAAGCCGAAAGGGGGGGGTACCTTACTGGAATATGAGACGATCATCCACGTACAGGGATGGCATTGGTCCACTCAGCGAGTATGAGGCTGGCCGCAATCATGCTGATGGGATCCCCCTGAGGGATACCCCTTTGAGCTTTCCATCCGGGATATCACCAGGCAGTCTAGGTCTTTTGTCACCAGCGTTGCATGAGTGCTCATAGAGCTCAGCAAAGTAGCCAAAAGCAACATCAATCGTCTCGCGTGGCGTAGTAGTCCAAAAACCATCATGACAGATATAGTGAGGTGCAGGAGACCCGCTGCCCTTGACCCACTTGGAAACATTTCGAAACCAATTGCCACAATACGCTCCCTGAGTGGGGGGCTTCAAGGAGCTCTTCCACTTGCTAGTCGCAGTATTCTTTTTGTTTTCGACATCCTGCTTCGCAACGTCATCAAGAACCAAATCACGCCTAGCCAGAGTCTCATGATAATTGAACTTTCCCTTCTGGAACTTGACGTCAACACAAGGAATTCGGTCACACTGCGCAGCACCATTGACGCATCTTAAATAGTCACGACTCCACCCTTCCCACATGACATCAATGTCCTCGGAGTCCACCGCGTCCTTCCAGTCCCTCTCAGTGTCATTCCAGACGTCATAATCCACGCCCTTCATCGGAATATCAAATCCAGAAAAGGTATAGAAATCAGCGGCCTTCCAACTAAAGTCCCCTTCAACAGAGATAATAGCATGCCCATTTTCCTCAGGAAAATGAATCCAGGGCTCAAAGAACCGAAAAGCAATATCAGGCGACATAAGAATGTTGCAATAGCAGAAGCGCCATCCCCTCTTCGAAAAGTGGGAGTTGCATCACGGTATTTCAAGATTTGTACATGCAAATACAAATCTTCACAACGGAGCTCAGAATTGAAATCCCCCAGCAAGATATCCGGACAAAACTTGGCGAAAGCGTCCCCAAGCTGCAGAAGAAACAGGGAGTATACACGTTCCAGATACTGAGCCACCGAGTGCCATCATAAACATCAACCGCAAGGAATCTTCCATCATCGTACCAATGCTGCAACTCAATAGGAACAAGTCCAACCTTGCTGGGCCAGCAGGCGTGCACGGCCATAGCAACACCAGGACAGCTCTTATGGCAAAGCTTGAGTCTACCCGCAGGTCCATGCTTCCACTGAGCACAAGCGCCAAAGAAAAGACACACATTCTGCCCCGCAGCCTGGAATGGCGACCACGGATTTTCCAAGTTGAAGAATCTTCTAAAGCTTCCCATTCATAGAGTTCAAGTTCCAGGTGGAAACATGAAAAGGAAGAGGATCATTTCCTCCTCCATTGAGCGCCCATCGCAAATAAGGCACTTGAACAAATCCAAACCACGGCCCTGTACGAGAAAAAGCCCAAATAAATCCACCCTGAAAAAGACTTTCAGGCTTGTCCAGAAGACCCCATCAATAGTCCTGTCCATCATCTTCAAATAGCTTGGAATCTTCCATATCAGCCGCAACCCTATCAGAAGCCGCCTGCTGCTGCACTTGCATTGCTTGCTCAAGCATTCTCATTTGCGTCTGAAGCTGCTGCATCATCTGAGACATTTGCAACACATCCATACCATCAAACGACTCATTCGCCCAAGAAGGAGCGGCTTCGGATGGCACATGTCTAGGTTTCTGCGGAGTGGCAACCCGCTGCCGCTTGTTCGTAGCCTCAGTACGCCATGCAGCCGTACTCGCTGCTGGAGGCGCAGCCTCTTTCCGGTTGAAATTGCCACCCTTGCCTTTCCGCAACTGGTCATTGAAAGATGGAAATTCCCGCGCCGACTCTGCATCAGGAGGAGGGGCTCTTTCCCTCTGCACAGGTTCTCTCTGCGTGGGCTCAAATCTGACAACTCTTCTTTCCCATCCAAAATTGAAAGCGGCCTCAGCCAAAGGAGGAGGGGTATTAGATCTGACCAGAAATTCAACGCCTCCCTTCCGAAACCGACGAGATTGGGGCATGACTTCCCCCTTCCAGTCAATTGCTTCCACAATGTCAGCGACGTCCTCATCAATAAAGTGTGAGGGCAGATTGCTGATCCTGTGCAGCGGAATAGGGCGTTGTCCAAGATCCGATTTGATTTTCTCATATAACTGTGATGGAACTCTAAGAGCCCAGGTATTGTTACAAAAACCTCAGCTTCAGAGGCATCCATTTGCTTCCCATTCCTGCGCAACCAAACAGGTTTGAAAGGCAACCTTACATCCTGACGTCGTCGATAGCAATTCTAGCTTTCACATGCCACTCCCCGTTCAAACGCCTGAAGTACCAACAATCAATAATGTGATGCTTGAGTTTGCTAGTAACCCAAGCGCGGACAGCTGCAGTCTGCCTGGCTCTGATAGCACTAAGAAACATATCATACTGTGAACTGATACGAACGCGAATCGCACTGGTTCTTTGCACAGTCTGAGCTGATCTCTTAGTGGTTGGGGATTTCCCTGATACCACATGCAGAGAACCCATAAGCAGAGCAATTTCCTGTTTGCCTCCAGTCTGCTTAAGCAAACGAATCTGTTGCTCAGCAGGAGTGTGCTGAACAATAGAAAAGGGCCTAGGCATGACTGCTCGAATCTGACGACCTGGTAACGAGGTGCTGTACCTCCTTGACATCATTTGCAAGATAAATACCGTCAACGCTGGGGTCGAACTCCTCAGTTGGCCTGACAGCAACGTTCCAATCCTCTTGGATGAGCGAAAACACCGGCGCATCGGCGTCATCCGTGCTCTTCCCCTTTCCCTTTCCCTTACGCTGTGGATCCTCGACCCGTCCTGCAGCTGGCTTATCCTGGTTTCGAGCTTGGGAGCTGAAATCAACAGCACCCTTAGCGTCGCCCTTGGACTTTCCCTTCTCAGGGTTCCGCACTCAAGGAGGCCCTTCTTTGTCCGGTTTCTTTGTTGACCCTATTGAGGAATTTACCGATGACCCTACCCCCCCCAAAGAGGTTTCGGGGCGGGTTGCTGGGTGACTTTTTCCTATGGTGTGCTTTTGCTTTTGTACACGCAATGCTTCAGGGAGGAGGTGCTGATACAGATGCAGAAATTGGTAGGCTTGTTCAGAGAGCCGCTACTGCTGGAGTCCGCTACACCTCAAAGCAAATTCGTGCCCTTCTGGTTATTGACGGAAAGTTGAAGACGAAGATTCAATCATGTGATAACAAGCAGCAGATCTGCGAAATGCTCCATGCTGCTGGTAAGCGTCCGAAATTTCCGCATTCTTCTCTTCGATCCGGACTAGAGAGGTCGACTTCGAAGGGAACGGTCGGAGAAATAACATCCTCAGGACCGAAAGGCAACCTTGTAGAATGCTGAAGTGCAGAAATCCTACTCGAGAGCGCAGTCAGTATCTCCCAATCTTCTATTCTCCTCAACGAGGCCAACAATGGTTCGAGATTGCTGCTGTAACCGCTCAGAAAGCCTATTGTTCCGCCTGCGCAACTCACGATGTGTAGCCAAAGCCCGCTCCAAGGCGTTTTGCGCATCAATGCAACAACGAGTCAGTTCTTTATCCGAAGTGTCACTGTTATCATCAGTATTGCTATCCTCCATGCCCCCATCTAACACACAGGAATGATCCCGCACATATTGCACAATGGATTATAGATTCTATCCGAACTGCCCCCAGCCCCATCCGATGACCGCAAGCAGAAGCCCCCGCAGAGGGAACCTGCAAACGCAGATGGGGACTGTCGGGAGACGTGTCAATTCTCCATGCAAGAGGACGGGGTGATTCTGAGTGATCAGAAGAGTCCTCATTGTCCCCATGCAATCTTGCAGCATCAAAAGCAATTCCAGAGTCTTCAGAGGCTTTCTGAATGTCATCCAAATCATACAGAGAACAGTCGGTCATATCAGCACGCCGGATACGCTGTATGATATCCGCCTTGTCCACATGTCTCATGTGCCAGTAAAGAGATTGAAAGGCCCCAATAACTCTGTCTTGCCGCAGGTGGAAATATCTCTCACGGGATTCCAACATATGATCCAAGTGATTGTCATGACCAATTTCACTTAACAAGCACCCGGTGGTTCATAGAAGGGTCCTCTTTCTCACTAAAACATTCCACGTCAAACTCCATGTCGCCCACATTCGATAACTGCTGCCGGATGAAGCGAGCCTTGACAAAGGGAATACCCGTAACACGCGCCATCGCTTCAGTGCGCATCTGAACAATGTCATCGATCCGTCTAAGCGGTCCAAGCCTCGCCAGTTTTTCAGCCATTGGTTCCGCTGTCGTAACCTGGATCATATCAACAACATTTCTGTAATCAAGAAAAGCGTCCTCTTCCATTTCATCCATACCAGCGTGAAAATCACAAACGGCAGCAAGGAAAGGAAAGTCCTCCCCCTCACAAATCCCATCATGAAACATAAATCCCAACAGCAGAAGGCAGAGGGCAAATCCGAGAAGAAAAGAACGTTCCGAACTCCAAAGGTTCCCTGGTCGGCGTTTCCGGATCAACGGACATTCCTCCTCCGCCATTCTCCATCCCTTCAGGAGAGAACTCTGACACCTATATTGCACTTCCTCCAATCCAATGAAGCCTCCATTGCAAAAGCTGCAATTGTTCGCCCGCGTCCACGAGCGCCCTGATCAGATCTGCAGCCTCGCCACCTCTCGTCGAATCACTACTCCCAGTGCCAAGGGTGCCTACGCCTCACGGGTGTGCGGCTCCTAGACCTCTCAACTCTCCTCCTCCTAGCCAGCGGAGACCGAAGACGATTGCTGACACGGCTAGAGCTAGCCTCCGGGTGCCCAACCTCCAAGTGGTCATCGTGCCTCACAGCCTTACCACCTTTGGCAACAAGAGTCACGCTCCTCAGTGCTACTATTCATGCCCCAAATACAGAGACCGCAATTAGGGGCAGAGATAGGTAGCTGTACCACATCCTCCTGGTCATACACAATAATATCCGTCTGAAATCCATCAACTGCCAAGAAAATAGAAGAAAAGAGTCGAATGAGCACGAAAATGATCACGAAGATCCAACCACATGAAAATAAACTCCGAAACGCCACGTGATGTCCCACATCACTCAAATCGTAGCCCCCTTTTCGTTCAGTTCCTCCAGAACAAGGACCCATGGCCTCCCTAGGGTCAGAAAGAACTGAAACAGCCACTACCGCACGAAGGCAAGGAGCCGAAATAGCTGGTTTGATTGTGGCTCAAATGGAGCAAGGGGCAGAGGGGCAAATTACTCGCCGGTGGTGTCCTCTATTCGGGGACCAATTCCTGGGCTCATTGAACCGCATTCCCTACTGAGCACCATCAAGTTGTTGGGGTTGGTTTGAAGGGCAACCGAAGGTGAGGGAACGAGGGAAGGACCCCGAGATCATCTATCTCTTGGGTGACCCTAAACCAACCCTTGGCCATGCAAAAAAAAAATGTTTCTTGCAGCCCACGGAAAGGTGAACATTTACCAACTGAAAGGGGGCCCTACAAGTTGTGGCTCGCAGCAAGAAAAACGAAACGAGACCCAAAAACATGAAAACAAGAGACCAGTTGGATGGTTTAGGGTCAGACTCCATGTATCATTCCCTACCTCTCTCGACCCACTCTCCTAAAGGGTCCCCTCAATCCAGGGGCGCTACATACCCCTTGGACAAATGAACCCAAAAGGCCTGACGTTCAGACCATATCCTCTCCCCAAAAAGGGGTCTGAACACCCTTTCGGAAGTGGCTTGGAAACCGCTTTGAAGCCCAGGAACCGGCATGAAGCGGGGGGATTTGTACTTCCACCCTAGGTGGCCTTTTGGGAAAAACTAGATGGCCCTTTGTAACTGGAATATACACACCCTCTAAACCAGGTAATCGGATCCCAACCTATTTTTAAGCCAACCCACCCAAAAAGGACACCCAGGGGCACTTCCACCCCTTCGACGCCAAAACCGCCACACACCCATTCCGAAAACGCGGCGATGGATCCTGGGACTCCGCGCACGCACGTCTTCCAGGCGCATGCGGCACCTCTCGAGCTCCTAGGACCCGCCGGACATCCACCGATTCATCCGACGGACCACGCCAGCTTCCGTGTCTCGCCCCCGAAGAACGGGGTGGACAGCCGCGGCGCTTTTTTGCGGAGTGCGCGAATTTGTTGGTCCCTCCTTTTCTGGGTCCTTTTCTTGGTAATCTTTTAGTACAAGCTTTGAATATTCTACGGTAGATCCAGAAAATGTTTAAATGCAAACCGTTTTTCTAGTGGTTCAGAAGCCCTACTAAAGTCAACAACTTCAAGTGGGTCAAATGGAAACTACCACTAAGCCAACTAAGCAAATCCAAATTAGCTAGGGAACCATGAGTGGCTCGTCTTTGCTTTGGAATTCGTACCCTTTTTGGTTGGTTTTACAGGGGTCCCAAAAAGTTTAACACACATGCGTTTTCTGTGATTCCGAAATGGGATGTCCATCCCTATGACTCACTATCAACTGGCCTTTCCATAAGATACCACGCAGCTTCCGTCACAGCAAGCCTGTTTTTGGGCATAAGGATTTGAGGGACCCTTTCTATGAGGTGATGCTTACACCCGAAACTTGCTGGTTCTCAGGGAACTAGTTGGAACCCCTGAAAAACATCCAGCTGGCGGTTTCCTTGCCAGTCCCTAAGCCAAGTCTTGGAGACTTACTTGTTTTCTCGCAGGTAAAGAATTCAACCTTTGCACCTTCCGGAAAGGAATGCTTCAAAACTCACCCGAAGAAGAAGAACACACATCACCTGCAGTCTTAGGGTTGACCAAGTACAGTAGGGCAAGAGTAGATGGCACCATTCCCCCATGTTGGTTTGGTCCCCTTTACGTACCCACATCTACCGGGAATTGCGCCGTCTACGTTCACCCTAAAAGCCTGATCTTACCCCTGATCGGGGTAGGCCTTTAGGTTTTTGGGAAGCTTTCAGTTTGACGCTTTTCCATTTTGGTTTCAGGAAATACCCTCTCTCCAACTAACATAGCACCTCACCAAGGGTCGCTTCAAGAAGAACTTGATCTTCCAGCTACCCTCCCGCCGGTGCGATGTTAGGAGGGAGGGTACCCTTTTCCAAATTGAAGAGAGGGAGGCGTTACACACCAAAGGTCGGCTTCCGCTGGGGGTAGGCTCCGGGAGCTCCGAATTGTTCTTCCCCGTCTTCCTCGTTTCGGACCGGTTCTTCGGCTCCACGGGCGAAGAACCTTCTTCGGCCGAGGTGAACGTCTGCAAATGAGTCCCTGGAAACCTGACCCAACAACTGCCAAGCGCACCTCCATCTGGACGTGTACCCTCAAAACGTCCAAGCAAAGGATCCTGCTACAACATCGCCCCGAGGGCAACCTCCAAAAGTGGTGTGTGAACCTTAAAACCAACAAATAGCAATCTAGGGACTTCTGTGTCTATGAGAAGAGCAACGTGAGAGGCGAACCTCGAATCCCGACGCCTTTCTCAGTCCAGTAGCCCTTAAAGGGAACCCCGGTCTGCCATTGCAGGACTTTCCATCGCACTCCTGGACCTCGCCATTCACCTACGGAATGCGCTTAGTGCTGCGCCTGGTGGCGAAATCCCTTCGCACATCGGTTGAAAGCGTTGTTGGTATTTACAGGGGAATCATCGGAAGCCCGAGTTTCTTAGGTGGTGCGAAAGGGAATTCGTCCACCGACAGCAGGAATCGCATCAAAGGGTGAGCGGAACGGCGAAATGAGGCCGAGCGTGCCACGAACCAAATGAGGATTCACGCCAAGAGCAGCATCAGTAGGAAATCCGCTAAGCTCAGCTTCCCTCGGATTGGTGGTTTGGATTGGTGGTTTTGAGGGGTTCCGGGGGTGGTTTCCCCTTCATCCTCTGCAAGAACTTTCCACCGGGCTCCAAACCACCAACCGAGGGTTACCTCTCTTCATCTCTTCAGTTTCCCCGCAGTCCGCAGTGGATGGTTTGGATCGGTGGTTTGGTGTTTCCTCTTGAAGCCAAATAGGCAAGGTACCAAAAAGAGGAAAGCTCCTTTTTGCATGGGGGAAACAACCAGGGAAACCACTCCAAAAAAGATACCCTTCACCCCAAGAAACGGGAAACAGCTACCCATGGCCGTTTTGGGGCCGGGAGAATTGATCAACCCCCAGCCGAAAAAGCGGGTGGCCGGTCCAACCGGCATCCCCAACTCCCAGCTCTCCTGGAGGATGACTTCGCTGGGAGGCGCTAGGTCCATTCCTACGAGCGCAACGGCCGGACCAGCGCATCGTCGGGAATAGTCGTCGAGAGAAAACGCATCGCCGGGACCCAGCGGATGCGGAGATTGGCACAGGCCCTCGGCATTGTGCCCCACTTGGATGCTCCTTTCGCCAAGTTAGCCAGTGGTTAGCCACCTGGGGTGGAGCCCACATAGCAAGTGAACCCCACTTAGGGGACTTACAAGTGGGTCAAACGATCTCGGGTACCAACAATTTACTAACTTGGCCGAATTCGGCCAAGTAGACTCTCGAATTGTCCTTCTTCCTAATTTTGCGGCTCGCCTCTTGACACCTTCCCACATGCGAAAATCCCTTTTTTGGTGGTGTCAAAGAGAAACCAAGAGGAACATCACCCTTTTCGGGGGGGGGGTCCCTTAAAACAACACACGCCCACGCCATGCACCCCCCGCCTTCAGTGTCCAGCGAAGTGAGCTTGCCTGGCAGCACTGTGGAAAACGGATGTCTCTGTTTCTTTGATACTGTGGATGGACAAAATCCATTTCGCACCACCCAAGACACCATGGGAAACCATTGTTTGTTCGTATTTACAGGGGATCATATCATTCTAGGGTTTCTTAGGCGGTGCAGGGTTTCGTCCATCCACAGTACCAAAATGGGTGATTCCCATCACGACGACTTTTTCCTTGGGAAGAGGAGCAACCCTGCAGGACAGGGCAGAGTATGTTTTTTGAGGGTACTGGTGTTTGGGTTGCTTTCAATCAAAGGGGATTCCCTTGGCATCACGGAAATCAGCCCTGTTCATCCCTGTTGCCGCCATTATTGTTCTCCATACCATTCGCTGTAAACCTGTCTGCCATTTGTCAATTAGGATAATAGCTGAGCCTGGTTTAACATAACTGTGCGATAAGATCCCCTCGGGATGTCGGTGTTGGAGAAATCAGACACCATCCAATTGCATAGATGTCCAGGGTCTGCAGTTGAATAGATTGCAGGGAGGTCTAGGCATGGATTTGGCCCAAAACCTTATCCAGGGCCCTACCCTTCGGGATGATCTCAGTTCAGTGGTTGCCCGGTGGATTGAAGTCGCGCTCAAGCTACTCAGATCCCGCGGAAACACACCGCTGCCCTTGAAGACAAGAAAGCTTGGCTGCAAAAAAGGGACCCCAGCAAAAACATATCTTTCTTTCCTGGTGAGTGGAAAACAAGGGAAACCCCAAAAAGGCAAAAAAGCAAAAAAAAAAAAAAAACAGAATGCAAAAAGGGGAGCAAATTCTGGAGAAGAAAGGAGGAGGGATTTTTGGGGCATGTCACCTCATGGTTAGGACCAGCCTAAACAGTTCAGCTAGGATCAGCAAGGTTAGTGGGTTCTTTCAATCCTTTCCCCAAGAAGTGACAGGCATAGGTGTCCTTTTGGCAAAGAGATGGCACTGGTAATGATTAGAACCTAAGAAGGGAAGCCAGTGCCATCTATGTTCAAATCAGCCAACCCAAGAGGTAGCCTATGGTTACAACAGGAAAATCCACCCCAACTCGGCTTTCCAAACTGATCACCTGCTAAAAGTGAATAACTTGTGGGTTCAATGCAACCACTAAACCACCTAAAAACAAAAGTTCAACTTACGGGTTGAATGGAAACCGCCACTAAACCACCTAAAAGCATCCAAGACCCCCCAGGGTTGAACCGGACGCTTCGCCAAAACCCGCCCCTCCACCTGCGCTGGGCGTGGAGGGTGCCGGGACTGTCGGCCTGGCGTGTTTGGTTTTTCTCCACGGCTGCGGGTGGCCATCCGCAGTTCGGGACATCCAAAGTCCCTCGAGTTATCCAAAAACATCCACGGGGGGGTGGAGGTTCCCTAGCCACCCTCTCTCCAACTAACACAGCACCTCACAGAGGGTCCCTTGAGGAGCAAATTGATCTTCCAGGTACCCTCCAACAGGTGCTAAGTTGGTGGGAGAGAGGGTAAGGCCCCCTAAGGAACCCCAAGGATTATCAGGGAACTTCCAGGAACTGTAGGGCTCTCAACTACCCACTCTCTTGTACCTACTTGTGTGTTCGTTGCCAAGTTGGTAACTTGTTGGCAACCTAGGCTACAACCCACTTAAAAGTCCCCCTAAGTGGGGGTAACCTTGTTATAAGAGGGGTTTTGCCCCAAGTGGCTAACCACCTACCAACTTGGCCGAGCATCCAAGTACAGTCCTGTCGCACAGGGTTACACTGCAAGTAATATGTTCAGATTCTGTTCTATCTTCAGTCTATCCTATGTAGAATAGTTGTGGGATCAGAGACACCAGGAACGGTGTCCTCTCCACGTCCACGCTTGTTGAAAAACATCCTCCCTCTCGTTGGAGCCTCATTTTGGAGAGGATCCGGATCGCTGTTGGGGGGGGGGTTTTCCACACCCCAGAAAACAAATTTGTCAAAGCGATTGATCCATCGGCCAACATTCGGCACCATTCAGCTTCCCATTCGGCCTGGCGGCTTGGAGTTTGGTAGCTTCAAGAGAAGTTGGGTTCCCCATGGTACCGTCCAAAACACAACCACGAATCCAAACCACGAATCCATCCACGAATCAGCCAGGGGGTACACCATGGATCCAACTTTTCCCTCCGCTCTCTGGCATTCCAAGCGCCGAACACCGTCTGGAATGCCCGCTGAAAGGCGATTTTTCTTCCCCGCGACTTCGGGGGGCAGGGGGGGGTTGGCACCAGATGTCCAGGCCGGCTTGCCACGAAGGCGTGGTGGGATAAAACACCCCAAAAAAAGCCAGGGAGCCTCCCTTCTCACAAAGGGAAAGGGTATGGGCTCCACCAACCACTTGGCTGGGTGCATGGATTTGTTGATTCAATGTCCACCAAGCACTTGGGTAATACTCCCCAGTAAGATTCAAAGCCATGATTTGCGAAGTGTCGGTTTTTTCCATTGAATATACCAAACTCACTGGTCCTGGGAATCCCCAAGTAACAATCCCCCCAACTTTTCATCCAGGGTCCCGATCCCCTCGGAAGAAAGCCAGGGGTCAACATGACCGCTTTGCGACACAAAAATACTCAAGACTACCCGAACGCTCCGTTTGCCTTCCACGTTCGGGTCCTGCCGCGCGCGGTCCGCCTCTTCTTTTTAAGCCGGCACCGAACAAGCATCCGCGCCGCGAAAAAGCCGCGTTTGCGTGAGCTGGAGGTGGGTGGAGTTGTTGGGATCTCATAAACGGCTCGTGACATACTTTACTTTCCCCCGAACCAAAACTCTGATCAGGGCGCTGCGACTCTTCTACCTGACCAGTACAAATATGCAAACAAAGAACCACTAGCCACTACATCAAGCATTCCAAAACCTTCCAAAAACCCGGTCAAACTGGGTTGTTTGACGCAAAACACCAACTGCTTCCCCCGTCCAAGGGCGTCCTCTTGCAGGTGAGTGAAATGAGATGGGGGACTTCCTACGATTGCTCCTAGGTAATCGAACCACCAGCCCTAGGCTCCAAGTCCCAGCCCGCATGGACATGTCTGGGGGTCTGGGACCATCGGTGCCCTCAAACCCCGGCGGCTACCATAGGAATTTGTTTTTTCCTAAGATGGGATTCATGACCCCTTCGGAGGTGGCTCCCTACTCATAGCCACTTGCCCCCCCCCAAACAAAAAAAAAAACAAACAGCGAAAAGAAACCAGAAGCCATTTTCGCCCCTAGACAGTCCTTCGCTAAAAATCGCCCCTGTCGGGAAGATCGATCTCCTTATCCTTTGGCCTCCAGCGGACACTCCAGCAGCCACGCCAGCGGCCAAATGGTTGCGAAATCCATTTCGCGCCACCGTTCAGAAACCCTGGAAGGATGATTCCCATGTAAATTCGGGGAGTGCTACCAATACGGCAAAGCTTGATACTGTGGATGGACGAAATCCTGCACCTGGAAGGATGACTCCCCTATAAATACCAACAAACAATGGTTGTGACCATCCACAGTATTATCTTCCAAGTTAGAATGTCCACAGATAGTAGCCGTTCAGGTGTTAGAACCTACTTCGCAGCGCGACTCACCCACAAGTTAGGTTTATCCCAGGTGGCGATCACCTTTACTAAGTTGGCTGGGCACCCAAGCACCGACTAATCATGCTTGCTAATCTTATCATTGGTTTACCGTATGACCCTTACATTGTAACTAAATATATTCATTGTTTTCATGTTGTGAAACATGAGTAGCTTGTTGCACAAGCAAACTGAATGACCTGCTCTTTGCTTTCAACGGTTGCATTTGCTGCGAACACCCGGCAAAAAAAAAAAACAAAAACAAAAACGGCCAAGGCCGCATGAATGGGACCAGGGGGGATTGGGACCAGGACCCTTCGGGTCCTCTCGAGCCCCTCTTTTGAGGGCTCCGGACATGGCGAAATTCTGACGAGCTGCCGAACCGCCCTCGCGGTTCAGAGCTCGAGCTGACAGGTTCCTCTAAACTCCCTGTAAAAATTTTGAGAGAGTTGACCAGGTCCTTTACATGGGATGACCATGTTTGGGGAAACCATTGAAAAGATCATATTTGGAGCAGAAAGTGACCTACTGTGGATGGACAAAATCCTGCACCAGATTGAAACCATAGGAAACCATTGTTTGTTGCTATTTACGGGGGAATTATCATTCCCAGGTTTCTTAGGTGGTGCGAACTGGACTTCGCAACCATCCACAGTATGGAGCTTTGAACATTTTCACCCTGAGGGCTCCGAAGCCGATTTTGAGCCACACAAGCAGAGGTTTCAACTGACACAAGCGTGGCCACCCCCATGGGTGGCTGTTTTGGAAACGGACCCGCCCCATACGGCGCAACGGTTTTCCTTTTGGCTTTTCCCTTTCAAACCAGAAATCGGAAAAAGACAGAACCCATCTTTTTTGGCAGCAAATCCCCATGTTTGTCCCCCCCCCCCCCTCCCGCCAGGCGGACAATGGGTATGTGTCAAGATAAGGATTGGTTGAACATGGTGGGCTGTGCGTTTTGCTTTGAACCCAAGCTTTATGAGCGGCCCTTTTGCCTCAAAGAGACCAGCCACTCTCTCGGAAGCATCGCCGCTTCCGCTTTAAAATTGTCCGCCGGGGAATTCGGTCGCGGCCGAAATCAGTCACCCCAGCAGCGCCCACCATGCCAGCACGGCAGGTAGCGCCTTGCGAAGAAGAAAAAAAACTTTGAAGGCCAGGTTCCCATGTTCCAAGGAACTTCGAGGCATGGCCCGAGGCTTCTTCTAGGACGCAAATTCGCGTCCTTTTTGAAGCTTGATCTATTACGAGCTGCTTGTATGAGTATCAGGCACTCGCAGACTCGTGGGAATTCTGGTGATGGTGTTTTTGGTGTAAAAGTATGGATATTAGAAGAAAAAAGTCTGATTACAACCTGCAATAACTACATATATATATATATATATAGCATATGTTCAATAAAGTTGAAACTAATTCATTTATTGGATTAAAAGCTCATCCAAGTGAGGTGGTCAAATCTGGAATGTCACCTTTTGCCTGGGAGACTGAAATGGCTTGTCTGCAAAAGAAGCTAGTCCTGGGCAAGCCACGTGTAACTGAAAGACCAGTTTCCTCTGTGGTGGCAAGAACAGGAGTGCACCCCGAGAACACCCGGGATGATAGTCCAGCAGCCCGGCATCTGTCCACAAATGGGACCCACGTTCGGATGTGGACAGGAAGGAAGCGTCATTCAGGGATTGTCACCCAACTGGATTATCACTCTCCCTACTCTCTGAATGCGAAGAGGTTCTGGAAAAATCGAAAGATGACCCATCCTGCTTTAAGGTTTCTATTTGGGTGTGCCTTTTTCGGAGTACCCGTCTTTAAAACGGTTTAAAGGGAAACCAAAAGGAAAACACGGTCCCCCTTGCACTTCCTGAGTGGATTGGTCAGCAAAAGCAACCAGACCTGGCGTTTTCCACCGATCAAGTGGCTCAAGTTCAGACCAAAAGCTTGGAATGAAGCTTCGGTGCCCAAAAACACCAATCTGCAATGGCGTTTGGCCAGATTTTGTATATATATATATATGTATATATATATATATATATGTACATGTATACATAAACGGATGCTTCTGGTCCAAGTTTTGCTGGGGCTCAAAGGAAATTAGCAAGGACTCTGCAAATCCCGGGGTGGTTGAAGTCCAAACTTCAGCTTGCGTCTAGTGGGTAATCCCTTCTCAACTCCCAAACCACCAATCCAACCCATCAACTACGCGTGAGCTGACATCTTGCTTCTGACGATTGCATGGTGCAAAAGAGCTATCAAGTCTATCCTGCTTCCCGCGTGCCTTGCAAGAACTTGATGGCAGAAGCACAGGGTTTAACCCAAAAAAAAGTCGGCCACAAAGGTGATGAATGGGGATCCCATCCTCCGCAATCGGAACTACAAGAAGAGAAACCGATGGCATCTGGCAGAACAACCCAAACCACTCAGTAGCTCCAAATCTGAAATAACAGCAAAATCCTTTGCTTTCCCTTAAAACCACAAAAAAGGGTGCCCTCAAAGAACGCCACGCCAAATCGCGACTACGCCCTTTGTCGGGTGCCTCTTGTGTGGATTTCAGGTGCCTGTGGGGTCCGTTTCCTCTTTGCGCCCTGACAACCACGAGACAAGAGCACACGCCCCAGCCACCCAGCCACCCCCTAAAAATGGACTTGGGGGGGGTAACCCCTGGAAAATTCCATTTTTGGTTCCAGTGTCTCGTTCATGGGGAAGACCAGATATCAGAGAAATGGAGGTAGGGATACT